GATCAAGGGGATATAGATGGGAAAGGAAGAAGTCAAATTATCACTATTTGCAGATGATATGATAGTATATATGAGTGACCCCAAAAACTCTACCAGGGAACTCCTACAGCTGATAAACACCTTCAGCAAAGTGGCCGGATACAAAATTAACTCAAAAAAATCAGTAGCCCTCCTGTATACAAAAGACAAAAGGGCTGAGAAAGAAATTAGAGAAACAACACCATTCACAATAGCCACAAATGACATAAAGTACCTTGGTGTAACCCTAACCAAGCAAGTCAAAGACTTGTATGAAAAAAATTCCAAGTCTCTGAAGAAAGAATTAGAGGAAGATATGAGAAGATGGAAAGATCTCCCATGCTCATGGCTTGGCAGGATTAACATAGTAAAAATGGCCATCTTACCAAAAGCAATCTACAGATTTAATGCAATTCCCATCAAATTGCCAACACAATTCTTTACAGACCTGGAAAGAAAAATTCTCAACTTCGTATGGAATAACAAGAAACCGAGAATTGCTAAAACAATCCTCTACAATAAAAGATCTTCTGGAGGTATCTCCATCCCTGATCTCAAGCTGTACTATAGAGCAACAGTTATAAAAACTGCATGGTACTGGCATAGAAACAGAATGGTGGATCAATGGAATCGAACAGAAGACCCAGAAATAAACCCACACACTTACGGACACCTGATTTTTGACAAAGATGCCAAAACCATACAATGGAAAAAAGATAGCATCTTTAACAAATGGTGCTGGTCCAACTGGATGTCTACATGTAGAAAAATGAAAATAGATCCATACTTATCACCCTGCACAAAACTGAAGTCCAAGTGGATCAAAGACCTCAATATAAAACCAGACACATTAAATCGGCTAGAAAAAAAGTGGGGAATACCTTAGAACTCATTGGTACAGGAGAAAACTTCCTGAACAGAACACCAACAGCACAGGCTCTAAGAGCAACAATCAATAAATGGGACCTCATGAAATTGAAAAGCTTCTGTAAAGCAAAGGACACCGTCATCAAAACAAAGCGACTGCCTACAGATTGGGAAAGAATCATCACCAACCCTTTATCTGACAGAGGACTCATATCCAATATATATAAAGAACTAAACAAGCTGAAAAACAACAAACCAAATAATCCACTTAAAAAATGGGGAACAGAGCTAAAGAGAGAATTCTCTGCAGAGGAATATCGCACTTACAGAAATGTTCAACCTCATTAGCCATTAGGGAAATGCAAATCAAAACAACCCTGAGATTTCACCTTACACCCTTCAGAATGGCCAAGATGAAAATCTCAAGGGACAACACATGCTGGAGAGGTTGTGGAGAAAGGGGAACCCTTCTCCACTGCTGGTGGGATTGTAAACTGGTACAACCACTCTGGAAATCAATCTGGCGCTTTCTCAGACAACTAGGAATAGCGCTTCCTCAAGATCCAGCCATACCACTCCTAGGCATATACCCAAAAGAGGCACAAGTACACAAAAAGGACATTTGCTCAACCATGTTTGTAGCAGCTTTATTTGTAATAGCCAGAAGCTGGAAACAACCCAGATGCCCCTCAACTGAAGAATGGATGCAGAAACTGTGGTACATCTATACAATGGAGTATTGCTCAGCAATGAAAAATAAGGAAATCATGAAATTTGCAGGTAAATGGTGGGACCTGGAAAGGATCATCCTGAGTGAGTTGTCCCAGAAGCAAAAAGACACTCACGGTATATACTCACTCATATAAACATACAATATAGAATAAACCCACTAAAATCTGTACATCTAAACAAACTAAGCAAAAGAGAGGACCCTAACTAAAATGTTCAATCCCCATCCTGAAAGGCAAAGAGGATGGACATCAGAAGAAAAAGAAAATAGGAAACAACCTCGGAACCTGCTACAGAGGGCCTCTGAAAGCCAGAAGAAAACAGGAAACAACCTTGAAACCTGCCACAGAGGGCCTCTGAAAGCTTCTGCAGTATAGACTGTCAAAGCAGATGCTGAGCCTGATGGCCAACTGATGGGCAGAGTGAATGGAATTTTATGTAAGAAGTGGGAAATAGTAAGAGCTGGAGGGGACGGGAACTCCACAAGCAGAGCAACAGAACAAGATAATTTGAACACAGGGAACTTCCCAGAGACTCATACTCCAACCAAGGACTATTCGTGGAGATGACCTGGAACCCCTGCACAGGTGTAGCCCATGGCAGTTCAGTGTCCAAGTGGGTTACATAGTAATGGGAAGAGGGACTGCCTCAGACATAATCTGATTGGCCTGCTCGTTGATCACTTCCCCCTGAGGGGGAGCAGCCTTACCAGGCCACAGTAGAGGACAATGCAGCCACTTTTGATGAGAACTGATAGACTAAGATCAGAAAGAAGAGGAGAACCTCCCCTATCAGTGGACTTGGGGAGTGGCATGCATGCAGAAAGGGGAGGGAGGGTGGGATCGGCAGGGGAGGAGGGAGGGGCTTATGGGGGGATACAAAATGAATAAAGTGTAATTAATAAAAAATTAAAAAAAAAGAACGTAAATAATTAATGCCTTGTGAAAACTCAGTAAATTTAATATGGTAAATTTAGAGCTCTCGTTTGAAAAATCTACCTTTCTGCCTTGAGAAAACTTAGTTAAATAAAACAGACACCAGACCCTCACTTGAAAATCTCCCTTGTCTGCTCAGTGACTGGAGAGGATGGAATGTTTCTCATACTTCAGGGAGCCCTGCTGAATGGCACTGTTACTGCATGGTTTATGTATTACTCATAGCTGCTGTGAGCAAGTCAGCATAGGTCCTGTGAGGAGGTAAAACCTGAGTCCTAAAGCAACCAAGTAAGATCCTGGGCTGGCAAGATGGCTCAGCACGTAAAGGTGCTTAACGAAAAACCTGATGGCCCATTCAACACCTGAATCTTTGTGGCAGAAGAGAAAGCTAACTGTAGCTAGCTGTCCTCTGACCTGCACCTAGGTACTGTGATGTCTGTGGTACCACACTTGGGCACACACACACACACACACACACACACACACACACACACATAGAGACAAAGTGTTTAAACAATTAAGCTAGGTCGTATTTTCCAAAATACATCATTTAAATACAGCACTAGTTTTAACTGTATAGGCTTCTTACTTTTACAAATTAACAGCCTCAAATAAACCTGCTATTGTTTGCAGATATCAGTGTGCTGAGGACCCAGCTGCATATTAAAGCTAAAAAGTATAAAATTATTCCCTAGAAATTCTGACTGAAAAAAAATCGATTTCTGTATGACCATAACTATAATAATAATTCAGTATAATTTTCTAAGTATAAGAGAAGTGTGATAATGCCAGTTTGTCATCATAGTGTTCATGTTTGCCGTTCAATTCTGGACTCTATTTAAACATACAAGTCATTCTAACATAGCACATACTTGTGTACACGTGTTGCTGTGTACTGCTCATCTTCTGGGTGGGCTCTGTAGTAAAAACAGGGAGGAAACCTCAGAGTTTGTTTCAAAATTAGTAATTGGTACATGTTATATTTATTACACATCTATTTTATAGTTTTTAATTTTAATATTGATTGAATGTTAAACCTTCTCTATTAATTTGAGGTCAATGTATTTTATTAATTACAATTTATTTATTTTTGTATCCTAGCTGTAGTCCCCTCCCTTGTCCCCTCTCAATCCCATCCTTCCTCCCTCTTCTCTTCCCTTGCCCTCCCCCAGTACACTGATGGAGCTGTCCTCCTCCCCTTCCATCTGACCCTAGCCTATCAGGTCTCATCAGTACTGGCTGCATTGTCTTCCACTGTGGCCTGCCAAGGCTGCCCCGCCAGGGGAAAGTGATCAAAGAGCAGGCAACAGAGTCCATGTCTGAGACAGCCCCTGCTCCCCTTACTAGGGCACCTACATGGAAATTGAGCTGCCTATCAGCTACATCTAAGCAGGGGGCCTCTCCATATGTTGGTTGGTACATCAGTCTCCACAGTGCCCCTGGGCCCAATTTTTTTTTTTTTTGGTTCTGTTGGTCTCACTTCTGGGTTTTCTACCCCCCACTCTTCCGTAGATTCCCTGTGCTCTGCCCAAAGTTTGGCTGTGAGTCTCAGCATCTGCTTCAATCCCCTGGTGGGTAGAGTCTTTCAGAGGACATCCCTTCCTGTTCCTCTGTTCAGCAGCTTCTGGTGTCTATTCGATTTACCCTTCTGAATGAGAATTAAGCATCCTCCCTAGGGTCCTCCTTGTTATTTAGCTTCTTTGGGTCTGTGGATTGTGGTATGGTTATCCTGTATTATATGGCCAATATCTGCTTATAAGTGAATGCATACCATGTGTGTCTTTCTGGGTCAGGATGGCCTCACTCAGAATGACCATTTCCATTTGCCTGCAGCTGTCATGGTGTCCTGGCTTTTAAAAGCTGAGTAGTATTCCATTGTGTAACTTGAAGTGCTTTTCAGAAAAGCTTTGTCTGGGGCTGATACCATCCACATTCCTCTGTTGGCTTCTCCCAGCTGCTGTCTGTGGAGTTGTGAAGGGACTGTGTTTATGAGCTTCTCCGGCAGGGTGGGCGTCAGCCAGTCACCCCTGTTTTTATTTGTCAAGAGGCAGTGTTAAGTAACAGCTTAAATCTCATGAGTTGTTACAGCACAGATTTGGGGATGGGCCAAATGTTTAGTTTTGCTTTGTTTTTCTTTTTCTTTTTCTTTTTGAAAGCACTTGTAAAGTCATCCGTAATAGCAGTGCTGAAGTTTTATGATTTGTTTGTTTGTTTTACTGTGTATTCAGGGTACTGAAACTTTCAGTATGTTTAAATTATACTTAAAACTCTGGTTTTTGGTCACAGAGAAAATGAGCATAGATACATCTGTAACTAGCTGAGCAGATTATGTTAATTCCCTTTGAATTGAGTATACCTTCTACATTTCTTAGGGTCCTCAAGAAAATTTTGTTTTTGTGATCTTTATATGCTTTTTCCCCTGATGTGTCTATACTTAATACCCTGTTTCAGTCTGAGGCCCCAAGTAGACAGCCCGAGACTCCCGATGAGGCCATTGCTCAGAAGGTAAACACTCATTGCTATGAAAGAATGCCAACTCCTCGCAGCTCTCTTCTTAGTGCACGGTAGATGGCAGACAGACTAACTCGAAAGACTGACTGACTCCTGTGTGGGCTCGCTGGGATGGCAAGGGTACTGTCCTTCCTCCTGAGAGGTCGTCCTTCCGGCTCCTCCCAGGGATCTGTGCTGCTCACTAACGGCAGGGGCTCTCCCACTCACCTGGGCTGCTTCACGAATAACTAACTACTGATGAGGCACGTTAGTGATGGGCAGCCGAGCACCCTCAGCTCCTGGAAATATGATGTGATTATTTTAAGTGCTGAATTATTTTAAATGCAATTTTTAATTGGCATACATTTTTTATTGTTTTTGTTTTCCAAAAAAGATTTAGTACTGTCAGTATAAATACTGAAATGTACCTTAACACATTTCAGAAAAAAATCAGCAACCAAATCTACACCTCTTGGTCCACGATCTTGCCCATCAGTAACTGTGCCATCGTCTTATAAAATGTTAGCAGTTTTGGCAGGTGATACTCTAGTTACTACTCAGCTTCCTGCTCCTAGCAGGCTACTAAACGTTTTTTTCTGTTTAATAAATTATAACGATTTTGAGTTGAATATGATCATTTTGCCACATACAAAACAACCATGAAGGTACTAGGTTTGTTGTCTTCCTTTGATTGGAACACTGCATTTTCTTGTTAGTTTCCCATCAGGTGGACCTCCCACTCCTGTAGGATTGCTCGTCATCTTTTTTATTCTTTCCATCTCCACATACTGCACAGCCCACTCAGTTAGCTCCCTTGTCTCCGTTCCCTGGCTTTACACCTAAGCTGAAAAGGACAGTCCCTGTGGTCTCAGTGAGGTTATCTCTTGCTGGAGATCTGCTCAGTTTCAGCCTGAGTATCCCTCCCACACAGGCACTTCCATTTTAGTTGGAAATCAATTTTAAGAATGTGAAGAAAAAAAAATAGGGCTTTTAAAATATTGAGTTTTCTTCCTCATTACAAAGGAGGAAAAAAAATGCTGAAGAGGAGGCTTAAAGCATGTTTCAGATTCCTCAGTTTTGAGAATCATTAATCCAAAGCCTGAGTCTAATTCTGGTTTTATCAGTATACATTCACATACATTTTTTAGGGGCGTGAACTTTCTCCTTCTATATGGTTTTAAGAAGGAAAAACAAGTTTAAATCAGTTGGAAAACTTATTTTAGAATATAGATTATACTGTGAATGAACTCTGCTATTGTACCCAGAACACTGAGTCCATCCTTATGTCTCTAGCTACTCATTTCTTCATCAGAATTGAGTTATGTCTGTCCTTATTAGACCCTTCAGTTACTAGACAGAGCAGAAGGGAGGGCCCAGCTCATCGTGCAAGCCAGCCAGAGAGTGCCATCTTGTGTTGAATGTGTTTTCTGTGCTGAGTCAGGCTGCAGAAGTGGCAACACTTCCAGGGCTCTCTAGAGCTCTGTAAGACCCAGGGCTACAGAAAGGCACAGCAAGTTCTTATTCTCCTCCGCAAGCTCCCAAAGTGTACAGACTTGAGATTGCTCCAAGTGAGCGAGTGCCCTTCAGTCTCCTCAGACTGGACAGTCCTGTTGCAGCCTGCTGGGCCCTCATGGCCATGCGCTCCCTTAGTACCCTAGAAGATCAGCCAGAATGACGGGAACCTCAGTAGCCCAGAGACGTCATTTGGTTAAACCTCGTCTGCTGCTCTTTGGGAAGAACAAAACTAATAACCCGGAAGTCTGTGTTTAGTATATATTCATCTAGTCTGTACAAAGCCCCCAGACAATAGGAGAACAAAGAAATCTTGAGGAGCTTGGATTGTCGCTGTTGGAAATAACTGAGTCATTTTTTCCTTGTCATTTCTTAGAAGCCTGCGCGGTACAGGAGAGCTATAAGCTATGACAGTAAAGAGTACTACATGCGCCTGGCCTCTGGCAACCCAGCCATCGTCCAGGATGCTATTGTAGAGAGTTCAGAGGGCGAAGCCACCCAGCAAGAACCAGAGCATGGAGAAGACACCATTGCCAAGGTCAAAGGTCAGCCTCCTCTTCTATTTGAAGTCATTTTGGAGCGTTCCATCCATGTGATTTGTATGAAAATATGAGCATTAGCAAACAAGAGGGCCAACTATAAACATGTCTATATCTACTTGACCAGCACACCTTAAAGACTGATTTATGAATGAGAACTAGAGGCTGTGCCTTTATCCCCTAGAGATGTATGTATCAGTCACATAGTCATTGGCCCAAGAAAGTTTTTCTTGTACTTGGCAGAACACTCAGTGAAACCTGATCCTATGCAGCTGAATAATTACAGAATTAAAACAGTTGGTGGATAAGTCATCCATGTGTATTAGCCAACAGTAAAAATTAGGGGTCTTTGTGTAGCCACAGGGACTCATCTCAAATTTGGCCTTCTGGAGGCTGGAGTTAACTGAAAAGCCCTCCTGCTTCTGTGTTTACACACAGCCTTAGCCCTCCCACAGGACATGCGGGGCTGGATATAGCAAAGCCTTTCCCTAGCTCTTACTGGCCATTGTCTGGCTCCTGCTCACAGGTGGCATGCGGCTTTTCTCTGTCATACAACAGGCAGCGATTTCTCTCTAACTACTGCACATCTCTTTTGTCAAAGGCAAGATTATTTCCTTTTGTGTGGCGTGTGTCTGTTCACGTGTACACAGTCATGCATGGGCACAAGTATACGTGTGTGCCCGTGCACATGGAAGCCCAAGTTACCCACCTTGTTCTCTAAGCTCTCTCACTGGCTCTGCTAAGCTGAGTGGCCAGCAAGTCCTGGGAAGGCTCCTGCCTCAGCCGCACCAGGGCTGGGATTGCACGGACAGCATTGCACCCAGCTTTCTCTGCATGTGCTGTCTCGGAGGCCCTCATGCTTGCTCAGCAGGCCCTTTACCGGCTGCACCCTCCCCCAGCCTCAGGTCCCTTCTTTTCCCGGATTCTGCTGTCTCCTTTCTAGCACAAATGAAGACCTCATCCCTATCGAATACATACATTAATCCTTTTGTTAACTTTTTGTTTTTTTGTTTTGTTTTTCGAGACAAGGTTTCTCTGTGTAGCCTTGGCTTTCCTGGACTCACTTTGTAGACCAGACTGGCCTGGAACTCATAGAGATCCGCCTGCCTCCCCAAGTGCTAGATTACAGGCCTGTGCCACCACACCCGGCTTGTTTTCACTTTTTAAAGTGTCTAAATGACTGTAAACTCAAAAATGTTTTTATTTTTTAAAACTAAGCCCTGAAGTGTAAATTAAGAACTTTTAATTAACAGTTTAACATTAAAAGCAAGTAGATTAAAATTTAGAATTAAAATTGTCAGTAAATGAAAACCACACTTCAGGCCTGGAGAGATGGCTGAGCAGTTAAGGGCACTGACTGCTCCTCCAGAGGACCTGGGTTCGATTCCCAGAACCTACACAGTGGCTCACACCCATCTGTAAGTCCACTTACAAGGTATCTAAAGCTCTCCCCTGCCCTGTGGGCATCAGGCACACATGACATACAGACAAGCATGCCGGCAAAACATTTAGAATTAACTAGAAGGGAGGAAAACCAATACTCGCGTCCAGCGGGGTAGAAACGAACAGCTTGCATCCGAGTCAGCAGCAAACCTCATCTGATAGTGTTTTGCCCCCTTTCCCATTACAATGCATGCGTTCTCCCCGAGATGACCTCCACTGGACGATTCAGAAGTGACCTGACACAGATCAGTGTGATTCCACCCGAGTGCGGGCCAAAGCTTCCCACGTCTGTTCGCACTGCCATAGCAGGGCTGTGGAGAGGGTGTAAAGCCATAGTGCCTACAACTAAGCCAAGGTTAGCCCACAGGCAGTCAGGTGACCTGGGTCCGGGCTGTCGGCACATAGCTTCTCAAGCTTGATTTTTCTGATCTCTAGGATTAGCTCAAATTACAAACATCAGTGAGTTACTGTTGTATCCAGCATCTTACATCTGACAGAGTTGGAGGTTGGGGCTCATTAACCTGAAACTGATGCAGCTAGAGGCCTTTTCTCTGGTCTCTGTCTCTCCTGATGGCTCACACTTTGTCGTGTCTCCACGAGGCTCTGGTTCTACCGTTCACTGGACAGGATTTTCAGCATGGTCAGCTTACACTCTCCCAAATGCTAGAGGAGTGTCGGTAGCAAGCATACTGTCACTTTTGACGGCACAGCTAGGGGAATATGAAGACACTGAGGTCTAGTTGATAGTCCATTGTTGAGAACTTCTAATAGTTTAGGATCTCGCTGGTTTTTATTCACTTTATTTCACAAAGTTATCAAAGAACAAGGAGGAAAGTGTTTTCTTAATTAATCTGCAGAGTAGAGATCTGTCATTAAAGAGTTCTATGCCTGTTCCTCATGACCCATTGTTTGAATAATTTTATTCACTTATGAAGAATCATTCCTTTGAATGAGGCGTGGCTCAGCCTCCATGAGCCCTCTGAGCGAGTTACAGTGTAGCGGCTGTCCTTACGTGTGTGACAGTGACGTGTCACCACTCAAGGTGCCTCCCCGGTGCTACTCATCCGTAAACAACCTGTCCTTCCCTGAGGATTGACTGTGTGATCGTGGTCCCGGCCCTTCACATTCATCACTGCATTCAGCCCTCCAGCCAACCTCTGCGGTAGACAGAATCCTCATCCCAGTTCTCTAGTGGAGAAAACCGGGGTTCGCAGAGGGCCCTGCAGTGTTTGTTTCCGAAGCCTTTGTCGCTGACCTTTGCCGCTGACCTCCGAACGCTGCTTCCTGTCTGTGCCCTTCAGAGTTCTGACTGCAGAAGTTGAAAAGGGACTGTGTACAAGTGTTCGAGTAAGCCCTTTGCCGCTGTGACAAGTCAGAGAAAGTAGAGGTTTGGGTCTCAGGCCCTGGTCAGTTGCAGCTGCTGTTTTGAGGTCTGTAGCAAGACAGCAGGTGCCGTGTGGGAGAGCAAAGCACCATGGCACCCACAGAACAGATAGGAAGGGGTTGGGGTCTAAATGTCCGCTTCAAGGGTGCATGTTCTAATGACCTGGCTTTTCCTACCAGGCCCCACTCTAAAAGCTACACCCCTCCCCCTGGCACCAGGCCTAGGACCAAAGCTTTCGCACGCAGGCTTCTGGAGGCCACCTAAACCATAGCTGACTCTGTGACACTATGCTGGCCCCGCATGATCCCGCTGCTCTGTGTGCTGCAGGCCTGGTGAAGCCTCCCCTGAAGCGCTCTCGCTCTGCGCCTGATGGCGGAGATGAGGAGACCCAGGAGCAGCTACAAGACCAGATTGCCGAGAGCGGCTCCGTGGAGGAGGAGGAGAAGACAGACAATGCCACTTTGCTGCGCCTGCTGGAGGAAGGAGAGAAGGTGCGTGTACCTCTGGGGAGTAAGTGTGTTTAAGGAGCATCACCAGACACGGGGCTCACAGCTGACACCTCGTCCCCCCTCCTGTGCAGCCCGCTGTTACACCACAGTTCCCCTTACAGGCCTGGCCATGTCTCCGCAGACCAGCCATCAGCCATCCCAGCGGGGTGCCTTTTCCTTCTGCATCTCCATAGCTGATCACTACTCTCCCCTCCAGCATGCATTTAACCCTTTTCTCCCTCACTCTGTCAACCTGCCTCCCTTTTCTGCCCGCCACCTCGGTCCTGCCCACCTCGCCCTCCTCACCTCGCCCTCCTCAACGGTGCATGCGTCATAGCCCGAGCACCCGCTACAGCGTCCATGCTGCTGCCCACTGCATCCACCGTGGGTAATGAAGACACATCCACACTGTTTGTCCTGACAACTCCCCAACCTCCCTTCACTGGAGGGGCCTCTAGGGTAGTGATAATTCCAGTGTCCGTCAGTCTATAACCCACACAAGGAGATTTTCCTGTCTCCCCTGCACGCATGCTCAGCCTTGTTTAGACGCCCTCCCTGTGTGCTTGTGGACTGCCTATCAGGAGTCAGCACATCCATTTACCATGGTCATTTGTTCCTGTGTCTCCTCTTCCTCTTGATGCTGTTTCTTACTCGTATCCCACTGTCTTACACAACGCAATCATGTAAAAGACACCCAGACTGTGGCATAGTAATTGGCTACAGGAAGGAAGGTAGGTAGGTAGGTAGGTATGTTGGTTACTGTGCCGAGAATTTGCATATCACCCTTCTCGAAAGGGTGATATCTTTCTTTTTTGCCTGTTGTATTAGCCCTGGAGATCTAAGCTACTTCAAGAAGTAGTAATGAGAAGCTGGTGTGTAATTAAAACAGTGCTATTCAGATATGTGCCCTGAGTAATTCTGAATGAAATGATAAAAAGAAAGAAAGCCATGTCACTGTGAAAGCGCATCCATCCAGAAGATGTGCTGGAGAGGGAGGCTGCCGTGGCCCTGGATGTTAAGCATCATCACCATAATGCTGCTCTCTCCCTGTTCTTTTAGCATCTGAACACTTGGAAAGTGTATGTGCCTCTGATGGCAGTCTGTCTTTTCCTCCCTCCCGTTCCTCCTCTTCATCCCACTTACACTGCATAGTTACTTTAACGTAAGTCAGGAGGCTCAGTGGTGGAGTAGGTATCTAATGTGCATGGAGCCTCGGGTTTCATCCCCAGCACCACAGGGAGAACACTTAAACACGCCTGTGCCTTGAGATACAGCTCATTTTGTAGAGTGCCTGCTTAGCGCACAGGCAGTCCTGGGTTCAACCCCCAGTGCAAGGCTGTAATCCTAGCATTCGGGAGGAGTCCTTTGAGTTCAGGGTCATCCTTGGCTACCTAGGGAGTTGGAGGCCAACCTGGCATGCATCAGACCAAGTTTCAGAAAGTTCAAATAAACATCTGAATTTCCCTACAAATGGCCCACTCTTTTATGGCTTCAATGATTCAGGTGTACCATGAAATTGACTTATACTTAGGTACTTGAGAAAATGTATTAATGCTTCAAATTGTAGTTCTAATTGACAAGTAGTTATATACATCTTTAGGCTACATTGTGCTGTTCCTTTCTATAATCATGGAAATATTCAGTCAAGCTAACAAAGACATCCATCCCCTCACCAATATTTTATCACAAGGTGGTCACTGAGAGCCACCCTCCACTCCACATGAAACTTCATGCCATTTGGGAAACCTCCTTTCCTTTCTGATCCCGTCCCCCTAACCTCTAGTAACCAACTTGATATTTTCTGTTCATTTCTCAACCTTTGTTGAATACATTTTTTCCTGTCCTTACCCTATATTTGAATGGTGCAGGGACTAGATTCAAACGGATATCACTTGGCATTTGTATGACTCTGATTTAGTTGCTGATTTTTCCCCCTTTGACTTGTGTTGAAGTGAGTTGAATCAAGAAGGAATGTCCACCTGGAATTAACCTTTTGGAAATAAAACAGTTCTCAATTGAAGAGATGTAGTGTGAGGAAACAGCTGGGCCTTCACAGTGGCCGTGCAGTCTGGCCCGGGGGTCGGGAACCAGGTGGGGGCGAAAGTCACAAGCCACCGCAGAAGCTCCTGGGAGGCGTCTGCAGAGAGGACAGTGAAGTCTGGAAGAGAAGACAGCCAGCAGTTCTAGTGCGGTCATATGCTTTATCTCACATAAGCCTTACAAGAAGCCATGGTGTACCCTAGAAACAAGCAAATGAAAGCAGAGGCCCCAAGAAATGGAGACCCCCTGGCCTAACCTGTACACGAGCCAGGAACTTTCCTGGGGCTCACGAGCCCTGAGGAACATTTGCAGTGTGTCAGCTAGCCTAGCCTAATCTCTCCATATGCGCCCTTCAAACCTCCACTCTGCCAGGGTTTACATCTGTGTCCTCCATGAGAACAGGAACCTCAGCTAAGTTATTCCTCACTTACAGACTAGCAGAGATGTGCCTGGCTTCGGAGGTGGGGTCCTAGGTGGAGTGTGGGCTTAGTGGACGATGTGAGTGCCTGTCTCTTGTTACTGCCGGCATCTGTGCGCAGGATTGAGCATGAGCTGCTTCTGTGCCTGTTTGAACTCAACTTGGTGCTAAGCATGTTAACTTCTTAAAGTTACAGGAAAGAATACTTGTGACTTTCTTTGTAGATCCAACACATGTACCGCTGTGCTCGAGTCCAGGGCCTGGACACCAGCGAGGGGCTCCTCCTTTTTGGTAAAGAACATTTTTATGTGATTGATGGATTTACTATGACAGCGACCAGGGAAATAAGAGACATTGAAACTCTACCTCCAAAGTAAGTAAATAAATGAAGAGACACCAAGTAGATGACAGCAAATATATTTGCATCATTTCTTTTCATCCCAAACCTGCATCCTGAGTCCTGTCACCTCCCATTTGATGTCTGCCTCAGGGCAGTACTGTCATTTCCACTAAAGAAAAAGTGCTTGTTCATAAGTGAAAATTACATTATATACCAAGGTACAGGCGTTGTTAACATGTTATTTTAGTTTCTCCCTTACTATGATAAAACAGCCTAACTGTAAAGCAATTTGTGGAGGTAAGGGCTAATTGGCCTTATATTCCTTTGTCAAAATTCCTCATTGAGGGAAGTCAGGTCAGGAATCAAACAGGAGCAGAAGCAGTAACCCAAAGAGTGCTGCTTATTGGCTTACTCACTCGGCTAGTTCCCTTATACAACCTAGGACATTCTGCATGGGGGATGGCACCACACACAGTGGGCTGGTCCCTCTAATATCAATCATTAATTTAAAAAATTCCCCATAGACTTGCATACGGACCAATCTCATGGATGTGTTTTCACAGTTGAGATTCCATCTTCTCAGATGATGCTAGGATGGAAAGTTGACAAAAAAAAAAAAACAGCAGCAACAGAAACCCTAGCTAGTACACCTATGCATTTAAAAGTTCATTCTGAGTGTATAAGATCGCTTTTGATCTTATAGACTTATTGATACAGAGGCTGGAGAGAGGGCTGAGAGGGTAAAGGCTCTTGCTACATGATTGTGAGAGCGTGAGCTCAGATCCCAGCATCCTTAGAAAGAACACAAGCATGGTCTCACAGGGACCTCCAATCCCAGTGCTATGGGACCAAGATGGGAAATTACTACCGTTGGTGGGTACTAGCTGTGCCCGAGGTGAGAGACCCTGCCTCAAAGGAACGAGGCAGAGACGGGTGGAGCAGGACACCTGACGCCCTCCACTTGTGCCTGTGCCAGCACACAGGTGTGCATGTGCACACCTGCACACCTAGATGTATGCACACAGCTGGACACACTCAGGAGCAATACCCTTAACGAAAGAACAGCCCTTGTCCTTTGAGCATACTGGAAGCATGGTGACCGAAGCCCACACAGGCTGACTAGCTGAGTTCTTTTCCATCTTCCTTTCTTCTCCCAGCCATGGGATAGTTGTGAATAATGGATCACTCTGTGGTCAGAAGACACACGTGGGCTCTTGTCTCTTCCTTTAACACTCTGAACGACTGTTGATGAGACAGGGCCTCTGTAGTTCATGCCCGGAATACTGCAAATAATTACTTTCTTCACCCATCAAGGCCACAGTTTGGCTTTCATGAGCCCTTACTCGGTATAGAAAAACTTTTAATTACATTTGTGATTCTTGAGAAATGAAGTAAAACCATGTTTTGTGACACTTGGTACAAAGCTAGATCTATATTAAAATACTTTAGGTCTTTTTATTCTGATTTGGAAAGAAGTAAAATGTCTTTAGGGTTTATGGTCTTGGCTTACACCCTGTGCCAGCTGATTGATTATTCTAATCACGCTTTTGTTTGCTTCCTTTCTCTCTTGGCGCCTCATAGTATGCATGAACCAATCATCCCTCGAGGAGCCAGACAGGGCCCGAGCCAGCTCAAGAGAACATGCAGCATCTTTGCCTATGAAGACATCAAGGAGGTCCATAAAAGGAGGTACCTCCTGCAGGTGAGTTGATGGTGCACTAAGTGTTTTACCCCCTTTTTTGTTCCAAAAATATCATTTTTAAATGGGTTAGTGTTGTGGAGACTGCAGCCTCCTCACTGCTCCCTGGAGATGCGGATCCCAGGGGCACACGGCATCTTAGAATGCGTCTGTTCTCTTCATCACAGTCTGAACTCGGGGGCTGCCTTTGGTGTGCACCCCTCCCTCTACTTCTCAAGAGCATATTTGTCCTTTCATATAAAAAATGGCATCTGCTTCATTTCAAGAGCATAATTTTTAATCACTATTTATCATTCTGGTTTTTAACGATTTCTTTAATTTTGAGCAGAACAAGAAAAAGTTTGATTGCATGCCTTAGTATACAGAGAATTCATGTGTCTAAAATACTCTGCAGGCAAGAAATTCAACAGCATAGAAATTCACAGTGAAACAGTGCGTTTCTTATGATCTGTTTCATTGCTGCTTTTTCTCTAACCATTTCAGCCTATCGCTGTTGAAGTTTTCTCCGGGGATGGACGGAATTACCTCCTGGCTTTTCAAAAGGGAATTCGGAATAAAGTCTACCAAAGGTCCTGTTCATGAGGAATTCCTTACGTGCTGGTGTGGGAGGAGGTGGGAGGGGCCGCTGCCGTCCTGTTCGGCTTGTTACTTAAAATCCAGAGTCCAGACAGTGGGTCAGAGTCTCTGCAGAAGTAGTCCATCCATTTCCGGATTCTGAAAACACGAGTCCCCTAACTAGCTTTTGGAACAATGGCCAGTTGGCCTTCTTGAATAGCATTTCTTCCTTCTGGTGACTTAGAGTGAGAACAATCAAAGGCTATTTCACACAAAGTCTAAGAGAATAAAAATGTCACTTAAAAAGTAATGCTTTAGTGGACTGGAGAGATGGCTCAGTGATAAAGGCCCTTGGTATCAAAACCCAGTGACTGCTTCACCTCCAGGACCTGCGAGATGTAGGGAGAAGCAGCCCCACAGGGCTTCCCCCAAGGCTGCACACAGGTGCCCCCCGGGGGAACATACACAATAATAAGAAATCAAATAAAAATTGAAAAACAACACTTGGGGTTCAGAGTGCGCCAGCTTCCTCTGTACCTTGCTGCGGGGCTCCAGAACTGAGTTCCCTTGGAAGCAGCATCCACCGGAGAGTCCTCCCTGCCCTAGAAGGAACGTGGAATGCCTTGGGTGTTGGAAAAGTAGCGTGACCACTGAAAACCAGTGACGCACACTCACGGCGCTTGGTGCTTCTGTGAGACACGGGAGTAGGAAGAGGCAAGAACCCTCACTCTATACATAGGATACTGTGGCCCCTGGCAATCCTCGTGTCACCAGTTTGTGGTTATGTCCATGAGGGAGAGCTAATAACCCCATGTGATGCTCCCTGTCACTGCAGGGCAGTACCATCTGTCCCTCTTGTACATGGCGGATACCTGCCCAGATGGTCCTCAGAGACCCACAGGTAGTACTAAGTCCTCTGTAGCCTGAGCGTACATCCATGACAAAACTTAGCAACAGACTAACAACAATAAGATAAATGGAATCAACCATGTCAGTATATTGTAAGGAAAGTTATTTAAAACTTAAGAATTTCTCATTTCTAGAATTTTCCATTTAACATTTTTTGAAACTTTTTAAAAAATATTTCTTTTGGTTGGTCATAGGTAAATTAAGTGACAGAAACCAAAATTGTAGATAACAGGAGACTGAAGGCATTGTCTGTGAGAATAGACATGAGATGCCCTTAAATTCCGTCCTTGGGCTGACTGGTGAGCCAACCTCCTTTCCTGGGTGAGGGAGCTGATGAAGTTCCACCTTCCTCTCCTGACCCAGCGGCTGTAGAGGCAGTTTAGCCACAGTTGCTGGGAGCCCTTGAGCTCGTCAGTCCTTCAGAAACTCCTTCGCATATGCCGGTTCAAGGTCCGCATCCTTTTCAGGGTTCCCCTACAATTCTGCTTCTTTGAGACTTAAGACATCTCTGTATTGGTCTCATGAGCAACGCTGCAAAAGCTAACGATGTCACAAGAAGGTGTCCCCTGCACGTCTGCGTGCATTCGGTGCCGTCTGTGTCCTAGCATCTGCTCAGCCGGTCAGCCTGCTGTGTGGTGATGACTTAGCTTCAGTCGCTCGCTGGCACTTCCTTTGCTGACTCCGCTCTTGCCCACTGGTGCTCCAGAGCCCCTGCCACCGCATGTGACAGACAGCTTCAGGCAAGACGGTGCTGCAGGGCATGCTGGCTGTGGATTCTCTTCCCTGCCACTGACTGGGAGCAGGAGGGTCGGGCAGCAGGAAGGCTGTAGAGTTGGCCTTGCTCAGGCTCCATCGGGCTCCTGCCGAGACCTCACTTCCGATTTAAACTTTCACAGGTTCCTGGCAGTCGTGCCATCCCTCACCGACAGCTCGGAGTCTGTCTCGGGGCAGAGACCAAACACCAGTGTGGAGCAAGGGTAGGTCACGTGGTGCTTGCTCGGTATTATTTCATTGTGAAATTCACATGACTTATATATCTAGAGAGAATTCTTTGGAGTTTTTTTCATCAGTTGCTATAGAAGAATATTTAAATTCTCAAAATACAAGCTTTTATTCTTTCCTTTAGTGCTATATTTGAATATTTCTCATCTTCAAGATCTCTTTTTGAAACATAACCTTTAGTCACCTGGTGTCGTGTGTATAAAGCATTCTCTTGTTTTTGATGCCACTTTTTCTGGTTTTCTTATAGTGCTAAAGTGCAATTCCTCTGTTTTGTTCGGGTAGACTGTACATAATAAAGTGAACTGTATTAGTTCCCAGCCCTCATGAACAGAGCCTGTCTGAGGGCTGGGAAGAACTTGTTGAAAAGTGACTGAGATGTGTCCGCTGTAAAGCTTTAAGGCCCTGACCCATCCTCCGTTTCCCTGTGTGCTCAGGTCCGGATTACTCAGCACTCTGGTTGGAGAGAAGTCTGTGACTCAGAGATGGGAGGTAAGGAGGCACACAGAAGGCCCTTCCTGCCTTGCAGCTCACGGTCCACAAAAGGAGAGATTTCCTCTTTGGGGCAGGGTGTGTGTGTTGCGGGGGAGGGGGGGAAGTTCTTGTATGGAAATCTGTTTTTAAATTTTCTATTTTTTTCTTTTGCATACAGAAGTTTTTGAACAACAGAAATGATTCATCATTCTAAGGCTGGTCTTTCTTCTTTTTCCTAAGAGAGGTGAAATCAGCAACTTCCAGTATCTGATGCACCTGAACACCCTGGCCGGCAGGTCCTACAACGACCTTATGCAGTACCCTGTCTTCCCCTGGATCCTCGCAGACTACGACTCCGAGGTGAGCCTCCGCTCATTTGACAGTGAGCGACGTGTTTTCATAAAGGAGAGAAATCTCGATTCCTGTGTACTTGTTTTACAGCCTACCGTTCCAGTTCCACAGCAGACATGGCTGCTTCCTTTATCCTCCATCAGCTTTGCCAGGCATCACTTGAGTCTCTGTGCCGCTCACTAGATCCCTGGCCCGGGCTTCTCTTCTCTGCTCCATCTCCTCTTTACGTCATGCTTGTACCTAAAAGAGTTGCACCTGTTTAAAATTCCTCAGTGGGATGCCCAGGCCCCTCTCCTCACTCAGTAGCTTTTGTCATGTGATCTACCTGCCTGGAACTGTCCCTCAGGCCTTCACATTTCTCCCGCCCGTGGATGGCACCCTCTTCTTCCTCTTCTCTCCTCATCTGTGTGTTGTGGTTCTCCTGCGGTTTTCCACTTGTGCTACTTTCATGTAGGGTGAAGCACAGTCCTCTTTGTCTGGTCTTAATTGTTCGTGCGGTCCTCAGCACAGATACTTCTCACAGCCAGCTCACTCAGATCCCCGCGCCTGGAGCAATGGCTGGCACGTGCATTTTAGCAGTTGCTGAGTTGGGTATAGATAAGGTACCAGGGGCATATTTCATTAGTGTGTATTTGTATCTGGTGCCCAAGACTTTTTGGATGTTTGACAAAATTGTTTATACTTGTGATGTCCTATAAGAAGGACATATAGATAGATACCAAAAACAAAACATATAATATTAAAAATTATTATGGGCTGAAGAGATGGCTCAGAGGTTAAGAGCACTGGATGTTCTTCCAGAGGTCCTAAGTTCAATTACCAGCAACCACATGGTGGCTCACAGCCATCTATGATGAGATCTGGTGTCCTCTTCTGGCATGCAGGTGTACATGCAGACAGAATATTGTATACATGATAACTAAACAAAATCTTTAAAAAAAAAAAAAGTGTTTACATATAGTAGACATTTCACAGACGTGTATTTCAAATTTCTACCTTTAAAAACCCTAAAAGTCAATTTTGGTTTTCTTTTGAGGGTGTGAATTAGGTCAGCTAGTGGTCTGCTCGTAAAATAATCGCTTTTAGACTGAAAAAAAATGTATTGTATTTGGAAAGCCACTTGATAGCATGTGTGAGCTGAGTGCTGAGGGTTTTAATTTACCTGCCTTCTCTCTGAACCACCTACGTGAAGAAAGTCGGGAGTGTTAGAAGGAGCTAGAGGTCAGGAGGAGGCATAGAGACACTCCGTCCACCTTCCGGTTACAGGAGCGATGGAGATAATGCTGAAAGGGAGCCTTTGTGTCTACCCTGTCTTGCTGTGTCCTGGCTAAGACCTAGAAGCATTGCCCTGTTTCCCTCCTTCCCACAGCTGAGCTCCTAAGTGTCTCCCTGGGAGATGCGTAATTTCCAAAGCACTTGCCAAGCGGTGGCACTCACCAGGCCCTGTGTCTGAACAGAAGGTGTGTGTGAAAAGTCCACAAACTTGTTTCTACCTAGTCCGTTCCTCAGATAGGGTCAGCCCGGTGCATCTGCGGTGTGGAGAAGACAGAGTGCCTGGTAAGTTGGCATCAGGTGATGTTCTGTATTTCAGGAGGTTGACCTTACGAATCCCAAGACTTTCAGAAACCTGGCTAAGCCCATGGGCGCGCAGACTGATGAGCGGCTGGCCCAGTACAAGAAGCGCTATAAGGACTGGGAGGATCCCAATGGTGAGGAGCGCCTTCTGCCTTGGCTTCGTGTTTCAGTCTCAGAAGTAAACCCTGTTTAGTGCTGACGCCTGTGGGTACGTCTGCAAGGTGCCGATAGGCTGCATACTCACACCTGCCTGTGCACTACCAGAGCAGAAACCGTTCTCCTGCCAGTTTGCGGCCACCGCCAGGAGACATCTGTAGCTGTCTGCAGAGCGCACGCAGGACACTGTGCTTCCTCTGCCTGTCTAGTCCAGGAACTACACATTCATATGTTGTCTCCTCTAATTTCATTTAAGTACTTTCTACAACTCCCATTCTTTAAAACTATGAATTGATATTTGTACACTGCACAATTGATTATATTTAATTACTATGGTGTTTTCCCCCTCAAAGACATAAAGCGAGGGGGAAACTGTTAGATTTTGGCCTATTAGTATGCCTGTGCCCGTTTTCTTTCTCTCCCTCTCTCCCCCCTGTCTGTCAAGGAAGACACACCATGGTAATAATACATACTATTGCATTGTCTCTGTAGACAACAATTTGGAGAACTGTAAAATCACAAAGTCGTAACCTAATGAAAACAGGTAGCTACCGAGTCAGTGTTCTTCGTCAGCGGAAGTTGGCTTGCTGTTAGACAGTGGGAGCCCCTAACTGACAGCCTCAGACACGCTTCACTTTGAAGAGAGCCCAGCAGGCTGTGGGTGTCTACGAGATGTGTACCTGAGGGGTCGTGAGGTCGAACTGTCCCCATCAAGATGTGTAGCGAGCGGCATCTGCTGCCCCAGTCGCCTGTCGCGGTTGTTGACATTCCCAAGCTGCTGAGTAACACCACGCTTACTTCTGTTTCCCCTTTTGTTTTTAATGATGTGCCAACTGTCTGGAGCAGGGGAGACCCCAGCCTACCACTATGGCACCCACTATTCCTCTGCGATGATCGTGGCCTCCTACCTCGTAAGAATGGAGCCTTTCACACAGATATTCTTACGGCTTCAGGTAGGACTCAAATTTAAAATTTTTATTATTCTGCCTTCATTTAAAATTGTCATTAAAAAAAAAATTCTCACCTTATAACGGTCCCTGTGAAGCTTCAGTAGTGACAATTTGGTCATTTAGAACTGAACTGAAATTCTGTTAGGCATAAATTGATGAATAAACTAGAATTTACTTAGAATGAACAACTATCGGGATCTAACAGTTAGAGCATAGGCATTCCAGCCAGAGAGAGGGAGTAGTCTTAACTAGTTGAATTCAACGAGTGTTTATTTAAACCCCTTTGCTGTGTCCTTGGTTATAGTCACATCTTCCATGTTCACTTTCATAGTGTGTACTTGGAGAATCCCTCCATCTTCCCTTTAATAGTTCAGTGTCTTCTTGGTGAATCCCTCCATCTAAGTTCAGTGTGTGCTTGGTGAATCTTGGCTTTCATTGCTTGCTGAATCCCTCCTTTGCCCTCACCGCTGTTTGGGTGTTTGGCAGGACATCAGAGAATGAGGACAAAGCTCAATAATATAGTTTCAGGATTTTAGTTAAGGAGGCAGCTAAACATTGTTTTCTAATGAGCGAATTGGGAGATGTTTTTAGATTTCCATCAAATGTGTCAGACAAACACCCACGAAAAGTGGAAGATGAGGGAGGTGGAGGCAGCTTAAAGCGTAGTCTTTTAGGGAGGTTTAGGGTCCTGCAAACACCTGAACACATAGTGAACTCTACACAAGGCCCAAGGTAGGCATCTGGCTGGCCTGGGGGCTGGGGAGGAGCAAGGTGGCTAGGGTACCCAGAGCAGAGTTAGGTAGTCATGAGTAGGGAATGAAGGAAGAAACAGTCCAGGGCAGCATGGGCCGTGGCGGTTTTCTTTAGCATCTGTGTTCACTGAAGCATAGTCGGGGTCTAGAGGAGGAAGCAGGTATGTCTAGGAAGCTGCTTAGGTAAAAGTGCTTTCTCCTTAATCTTGTTTTACCAACCAATCGCCTCTCATAACTTTCTACTCCATTCTCATGGTTGTGAAAACTTAGACATCTTGTTAATTTATGTTAACATGCACAGGGAAGTCAGGGAATCAACCAAAATCAAATAGGAATGAGAATCCTCTGTGGAAGCCAGTTACCATGTAAATGAATGTAAAAAGTAGAGTTGGATAAACATTCAGACATACATAGAAGCCTGACTGTTGGATTACATGTGGTTTACGTGAGAATCCTCAGGGCTTCATCAAACTCTGGAGGAATTCTCATTTCCTCCTGGTTTTACTGTCTAAAGATTAATGTTTTTAAGAGTATTTATAATCTTCACATTTGAATTTTACTTTGATTACAAAACAGATACACTGGGCATCCTTTGTAAAGAATATACCCCCCAAAAATAATTATCATTATTTAAAGTTTTGCACATTTAATGTAGGATGGCAAGAAATTAGAATGGAGCCAAAGGCACAAAGGTTTTTTTTAAGCCCTTGAACTTGACAGGAACTTTGTGGCACAGCAGTTCCCTAATAGATTCCTTCTGCCCACAGGGTGGCCACTTTGACCTGGCAGACCGGATGTTCCACAGTGTTCGTGAGGCCTGGTACTCAGCATCAAAGCATAATATGGCAGACGTGAAAGAACTCATCCCAGAATTTTTTTACCTGCCAGAATTCTTGTTCAATTCTAACAACTTCGACCTAGGTACGTGGAGGTGGGGCTTCCTAGGAATGTCAGCAGGGGAGGCAGGGGGAAACACGCCATTCTTACAAAGACTGTCCACGGTGCTTGAACAGGGAGGCCCCTGTGACCTCCGCTGCCTTTCTGACTACCCTGGAGTATGAGTGTACACAAAACGCAAGGAAAGTAATTTCTTGCCCCAAAAGAGCCAGTTCAGCTGAGTGTCTGGGAGAAATTTAACGCAGACACAGATGGCATCCAGTGGCCAGGGCTGTGCTGTTACAGTGAAAACAAAGTGGAATACAAATGTATTTGAGAAACACTACTGTTGAAAACCTATTAATGGCCAGGGGCGGTATACAGAATCTCACGTATCATTTCAGTCTTGTAGGTAACCTGAGGCGTTATCTGTTTATATGCTTGTGTATTTTAAAACTAGAATTTCAAAGTAATTAAAGCATGTTTCCTTATCCTGTGAGTGTCCTATTTCCCAAGGGGTTGGGGGGAGTACCAAATCAGCATGTCTTGAAAGGAAAAGTATCCTGCGTAGTGTTTCTTCTGTTACCTGGCAGGTAGAGGAAGGGCACTTGGCTTCCATTTCCGTTTCTTGGATCACAATTTGCTGACCTATGCTTCTAAGAGTTTCTGTGAAAACATCAAAATTCTACTATTTCTACTTTAGAATATTCTAGCCAGAAACTCTTCTGTTTTCCCCATCTTCCCAACCCTTCCCAGAGACAGTGTTTCTCTGTGTAGCCTTTGACTGTCCTGGACTCACTCCTAGGTATACAGAGTGGAAAGCAGAGGCTCAGGCAAGCACATGAACGGGCATGTTCACAAGACACGAATGGTGGGGATAGCTCAGCTGCACATGAGTGTGTCAACAGATAGCACATTGTGAGACACACATGCGCAGAATACGAAATACTACTCATCCCACCCTAAAACAAATGCCCACTCATGAGCTTATAAAAGGCTTGTGGAGATTTCAGACCGTGGTCTGGTCGGCCTTGGTGGGTTGGCTATGGTGAGGCAGAGCGGCACAGCAGAGGCGAGGGCTGTAGAGCAGCTGTTACCCTGTGGCTAGAAAGCAGAGTGAGGCGAGTGGAAAGGGACCAGGGTCTCTGTCCCCTTCCAGGGCATGCCCCAGTGATCAGAAGACATAGCCCTAAGGCCCGACCTCTTATTAAAGTGTCACCTTGTAGCACCATTAAACCAAACAGGGGCCTCAGGAGTGCACTGTATAATCAGACATGGTGTAGCAGTAGATGAATGCTGAGTGGCAAAGGGCAGGCCAGTATAGATGTCAGTCACACGATGTGTGATGCTTCAGCAGCCCCAGAGCAGGTAACAGCAGACAGGACTGGCTAACTGTGTGTGTGCAGGAAAGAGCAATGATCTGCTTTGTGGTTTCTTTGGGGTGGCAGACATGCTCCGGGACCTCATAGAAATGCTGGCTGCATTACTAAATGCCATTGAATTGTCCTCTTCAAAAATGAATCATTGTGTTGTGTGGCTCTTGCATCAAGAACACACACAAAAGCAAAGCTCAACACCAATCCCCTCTCCCCAAAGAAAGATCACCAATGTAAGAGAAAGAGCCTTTGGGTTTGTTTCCTGTTGTTCTAGAGTTCCTTGTCTTAGTCTTTTGCCTTGGGAAGAGCTGCAAAATATGTAAACCAAGGATTTCTTGAAGCTGCACCACCTTCAGCTGTCTTTACAGTGGCTGGTAGTTCTGAGAAATATGTTGGGACATAAGTGTTCTTTAAAGGTAGGCTGTTTCTCAAGGGGGCTAGGATTGTTGCTTGCTCATCGTCAAACATTTAGGTCTGTGGGCCTGGAAACATGGCTCTGTGGCCAAGAGTGAAGTCTTTCAGGGGATCCTACTTTGCAGGTCGGCTCCCAGCTGCCTGTAGCTCCAGCTTTGGGAGATTGTCTCCTCTGGCCTCTGCAGGCATCCCTGCCCCGCCCCCTACAGAGAGAGAGAGAGAGAGAGAGAGAGAGAATGCATTTGAGGGGATTAGAGGGAACATGAGAAGCATGTGGTCACTGTAAAGATTTTATTTTATTTTTTGTCTTAAGTCATGTGGTAACTTCTATCCAGTCAACACATTGGTCAGTAAACTGCATTATAAGGCAGCCCAGGGCTCTGAAACTCGAAAACTGTACCCCATGAGCTCTTGGCACAGTATTTATCTAACCACCTGCTGGGAAGCTAGGCCACTTGCTTATTGTTCAGAGTCACTTTTTTTCACAGTGCTGGTTTCATTTGTACATATGAAAATTGTAAGCTAACATTTACTTTCTGGAGTTATTTCATTAAAAATAAAAAGAACGTGTTTTTTTAGATGATAATTCTAATCAATTTTTAAAATCTTACAGCAGATAGTTCCTTTTTTTCTCGAAGTTGAGGCTCTTATTTTCTAGCCCAGGCTGGCCTACAACTTGCTGTGTAGCCTAGGCTGGCATCCAGTTTGCACTCCACGTCTTCCTGTCCTCAGTACTATGGTTATAGATATGCACCACCACGCTGGGCTCAGATTATCTCATATAACTTAAAATAAGTTTACATGGAATAAATATCAATATTTATTGCAAAGTAGTGTTTTTGTTTCTGCCAAGTAGCCCCAGTGTTTCCAAATATTTTTCTTAAAATGTTGCAAAAATTTGTTGTTTCGGATTTTTTTTTTCCCTTTTTAATGAGAACCATCGCTGCAAAATATCTGTGTTCTTCTGAGGCATCTTAAGATTTTAATTGTCAGCCAGGCATGGTGGTGCATGCCTTTCATCCCAGCACTGGGGAGGCAGACGCAGGAGGATCTCTGTGAGTTCAAGGCCAGCCAGAGCTACACAATAGAGATACCTTGTCTTAATATATAGTGTCAAATATATTACAATTTATTAATTTATAAAATACATAAAGTATCAAAGGGGGTGAGAAACCTCATGTACTGAAGTTATCATAAAAACTCTCATAGCCCCACATGTGAGTGAAAAGGGATTTGCAGCCAGCGGTGTTCCAGAAACTGCTGTGTGGCCCTTAGGACAGTAAGCTTAGCCTAGCAGAGCTCTGAGGAGGTTTACCAGGGAGAAACCATTTAACTTTGCAAGTCACCTTTCCAAAAGAGAGGTCTGTAGAGTTTTGCCTGGTTTTGCTAACAGTCGGCATTCTTTCTGAGGCAAGCAGCCGTGGAGAGGCAACACAACAGACAGTCTCAGGAAAGAGGGAGGGGGTTCTGTGCTGAAACGGGATAGCTCTGGCACTGAATCCTGCAGCCCAGGATTCCTGTCTCCTCAGTAGGAAGCTAAGCACTGAGCTCGCTCTTGCATTTTATCCCTGATGTGTCCTTTGCACAGGCTGTAAACAAAATGGCACCAAGCTTGGAGACGTCATCCTTCCACCCTGGGCTAAGGGAGACCCCAGAGAGTTCATCAGAGTCCACCGAGAGGTAAGGGAAAGTGACCTCCCGTGGAGGGAGGCTCTTGAGCAAGGCGCCAGGCACTCTTTCAATTGCTTGCATTGTCCCCGCGGTTCTCGGTGACTTTAGCTCCCGTTGACCGCCAGCCGGGTTCCCCTTACTTGGGGGACGCGGACGAAAGGCAGGCAGTGACCTGGCCCGTTCTGGAACCACAGGCTCTGGAGTGCGACTACGTCAGTGCCCACCTCCATGAGTGGATTGACCTCATCTTTGGCTACAAGCAGCAGGGTCCCGCCGCGGTGGAGGCCGTCAATGTCTTCCACCACCTTTTCTACGAGGGTCAGGTCGACATCTACAACATCAACGACCCACTGAAGGAGACCGCCACCATCGGCTTCATTAACAACTTCGGTCAGATCCCTAAGCAGGTATGGCTGCTCTCGTCAGGTCTGTTGGGTCTGTTGCGTTTTGCAGACTTGCTATGTTTCTCTTGATTGGTAGATTACCGTACAAGTGGTTAAGACTCAGTCGCTAGCACCGTCATACCGCTCACCCATTAAACTCAGTAAATGGCTTGTTATCACTCTCCTTTCCATTTTACAGTCCACAGAAAATACAGTCTTTGTTGTTTGAATAGTTTTCACCCACAAACTAGTATGTGTTCATGTATTCTGCTCAAGCAAGACCTAGGAGAGGCCTTGTGGGCCACAGAATATGGAGATGGGATTTCATCCTGATGCCAGTCCAAACCCAATGCTGACTGTAGGCAAGGAAATGTTAATATAGCTTCTCTCTCTCTCTCTCTCTCTCTCTCTCTCTCTCTCTCTTTCCACACATACACACACACATACTGCAGAGAAACTAAGGTGGGAACAGAAGAGTGCTTAATGACTGGTCTAGTTTCCGTGCTGTTGCTTTTGATAAAGTACCCTGAAAAAAGCAACTCAGGGAAGAAAGAATTTATTTTTGCTCACAGTTAGTTCTGGTCCATCATGAAGTCAGGGCAGGAACTTGAAGCAGCTGGCTCATATCCCCTCCACCAAGATCCGAGAGAAATAAATGCGCGCCTAGTGCTCTAGCTCACTTTTCTGCTCTTGCCCAGCCCAAGGCCCACCTCCTGAGGATGATGCCACTCGGCTTCAGGCCAGGTCTTCCTGCCTCAGTGAAGGTGATCAGAACAACCCCCCCCCCCAAAAAAAAAAAAAAAAAAAAAAACTTGATCAAAGGCCAGAGTCCTCATTGTGACTTCCAGGTGACTCCATCAATATCGAGTCAATAATTAGAACTACTCGTCATGGAAATCTGCGGTTGCAGGATTTCCACGTTACCTTGGTGTAAGAGGCCAGTGAGTTACTTCTAAGGCATCCCGTTAAATGAAAGAGAATACTTTCAAACCTAGGTTGCGTGGTCACAGTAGGTGCCTAACTTCCTGTGCCTGTGACCTGGCATCTTTGTCTTGGTTAGCACTTCTGTCACTGTGATGAGCGCCATGGACCAAAAGCAACTTGGGGTGAAGAGAGGTGGGGGGGGGTTGTCTTACAACTTGTAGCCCATCATCCAGGGAAATGAGGGCAGGACCCGGGGGGCAGGAACTGAAGCAGAGGCAAGGAGGCACACTTGACCGCTTGCTCCCCGTGGGCTGGGCCCTGCCGCCTCAGTCATTAATGGAGAACATGCCCTGCAGCCTTCCTCAGCAATCTGGTTGGGGCAGTTTTCTCCAGTGAGGTTCCTTCTTCCCAAAAGACTGCAGCGTGTGCTGAGTTAACATAAATGGAGCCAGCCCGGCCTTCATATGAAAGTGCTTTATGTATTTGTTTTATCTGGCCCACATCCCTACGTGTGTGTGTGTGTGTGTGTGTGTGTGTGTGTGTGTGTGTGTGTGTGTGTCTAAAATAAAACCAAGGATCTCCAAGGCTTGGGAGTCTGCACCTGTCTTCCTCTATGTCAAGTGTTTTTGCATTTTTTCCTCTAGTGATCTCAGTAAGGGCTCAGGGAATGTGGCCATGGATTCCTCATTGAGCTGAGACACTTTCCTCACATACTACTTTCCCAGCAAAAATGACAATAGGAGTGTTTCAGAGGCTTTAAAGAGTCTTTAAGTGGAGTTTTAGTATTTTTAATCTTGTAGAAACAATGAACCAAAAAATGCCAAAAATTTTTTTTCTTTAAAAATTTTTTTTTCCATTGCAAAAATACAGGTATGACAGACACAAGTGCTTTGTGCCGTAACCCTGCCCCTGATTACCACAGTGCTCTTAACCTCTTTCAGTTTCTTCCCTCGAGTGGAAGGTGGCGTCACAGATTTGCAGCAAATTATGAGATTCTCAACGACACCAAAATGGCACCACTAAGTCACCCTAGGGCTGCTGTGTGGCATGAGGATAAGTCCTGTTATGAGGCTGCCTGCCCTCAGGGATAGTGGGTCAGGTTATGGAGAACTACTTAACTCTTAAACACCACTGCCAAATAAGTGTCAGTCAGCATGTAGTTCTAAACCCCTTTCCTCAAGTGAAATATGGGATCATGTAGTGCCTGATCCCTGTAAAGCTCACCAGCGCGAAAACATGCTTCTGGCACACGAAGGGGCTGAGTACACGTTACCTTACAAAGTGTGTCGTTCTCCTCAGCTGTTTAAAAAGCCTCATCCACCAAAGCGAGTGAGGAGCCGACTCAACGGAGACAACGTAGGGGTGTCTGTCCCACCGGGAGCCACGGGTGACAAGATCTTTTTCCATCACCTAGACAACCTGAGGCCTTCCCTCACGCCTGTGAAAGGTAAGGTGATGCGTGCCCTTTCATCATCTGGGCAGGATGCTCGCCTGGTGTGTGAGGCTGAGGGGCGAAGTCCGTACCTGTCTTAATGCAGTGGCTTCTTCACAGAACTCAAGGAGCCTGTGGGGCAGATTGTGTGCACAGACAAAGGGATTCTCGCGGTAGAGCAGAATAAGGTTCTTATCCCCCCGGCTTGGAACAAGACCTTCGCCTGGGGCTACGCCGACCTCAGCTGCAGACTAGGGACCTACGAGTCAGACAAGGTACACGTGGCTCCCCTTCTGAGCAATGTAGGGGTTGGGGGAGCCCAGACCAGGCTTCGTCAGCAGCTGCTCCAAAGGCAAGAAGGGACACTTCCTGCCTCAAATGGGAGAGAACTGGTGGAGCAGTTATGTTGCCTGGTGAACAAGTGTTTTTTGGAAATGTGTGAGGTGGGCGCTGACAGCTCCCCTCCCACTCCCAGAATTCTTCGAAGATCCTAGCCAGCGAAGGGCTTACCATTTCCGCAACCTGAATAGCCTCTGTTTTGGCAAGTCACAATCTGGCCACTAATGTTAGTGCCAAAAGCTGCTACAGTGTCTTAAAGAAGCAAATTGGTGACCTGTTAGTGGGTGTTGCCCTCTGATGGATCCTCCCATCCAGACAGACAGACATGCGTAGCCCTGTGATTACACTGGGTACTGCTCTCTCCAGGTAGAGTGCTCCTTAGACATGTGCTCCCTTTGCACGCTTCATTGGCTCCAGCAGCCATGACCTTTTACCATCACACAGGGTGAACGTCACTTTCCCAAACTGGATAAAAACCGGACCCTGTTGTGAACATGGTCTCAGAGTCTCTTAACTTTGACACCTAGCAGCCCGAGCTTGAGAGGCTCTTGGGCAGTTGGGGGTTAGAGCCTCCGTGGAACAGTCCCTGTAACTGAACCCTGCCAGCCGCAACTGAACCCGGCCCAGAAGGAGTGGCCTCCAGAGACCTCCCGGGAGCTCAGCTCCAGCCCTCATGTTGCTGGCATGCTCTGCTCTCTTCCACAGGCAGTGACAGTCTATGAATGCTTATCCGAGTGGGGCCAGATTCTCTGCGCCGTCTGCCCCAACCCCAAGCTCGTGATCACGGGCGGAACCAGCACGGTGGTGTGTGTCTGGGAGATGGGCACCTCCAAAGAAAAGGCCAAGCCCCTCACGCTCAAGCAGGTACCAGGGCAGCAGGGTGGGCGCATTCCTGCCCCACTGCAGGCTCCTTCAGCCGCAGCCACTCCAGTCATGGAGGACGAAACCAGAACGTGGTTTGGGTGGAGGGTGGTGTTCGCTGTGAGGGGTGAGGTGTATGTTGTGTTATTTTTTTCTGAAGATTGCCTCCCGCTGTGTAGAGTAGGCTACCCTCAGGCTCATGATCTCCAGCCTCCGTGGGTATTGGATTTGCATGTGCGTGCCACCACAGCTGACCCTAAACATGTTATTTCACTAGAAATACTGTTCAATAATCAGAGTATGCTGTTTCCCAAACATTGCCTCATAAAGTCTAAAGGAAGTTGTCTTTAGGTACCAATAGGTCAGCATATCTAAGAAATACAAATGTTGCTTAGAAATTATGTGTACACGGAATGTTTTGCAACCCAAAATGTATTTGCTGTGGATTCATATCAGTGCTCTTTGCAGCGGCTTCCACTTACCCAACCACCAAGTCTCGGGTGTTTTATGACTTGTCACACATAAGCACATGTCAGATTCATTCATGTGTCCAGAAAAATACCTGATGGCGCTGCTGACAAGTATTTTGATCATTTAATCAATATGATTCTATGTAATTAATGCAAAAGTTAAGCTATATTGTGGAACCCATTCTCTCCTTCCGACTTTACATGGGTTCCAAGGACTGAACTAGAGGCTATGAGCGTGTATGTAAACTCCTGTGCCTGATGAGCCATCTCCCCAGTATAAGCTGTTCTGTAATGCCCGATCTGGGAGGATTTATCATAGGCATTTTTAAAATAAGGAGCTACAGCTGCTTTTAGGATATAATTTAAAAAGCGGTATAAGACTGCCTCTCTTATTCAGTACCTTCTGTATTTAGGGCACCATATTAGAAGGCTGAACCCAAGTTACGTCAGGTAGTTGTGGGGGAGGGGGAAAAGTAAAGGGGACACACCTTAGAATAGAAGGCATGCCCATGTTACCTTGACATAAAGCCAGAACTTAAGCTCAGATTCTCCGAGGCTATTCTGAAACCAACATCAAACAGTGCACTAGCTATGTATGGAGAGAATAAAATCCCTTGTACAACAGCCTTCCACACAGAGCAAAGGCTCCTGAGACTCACTGAGGCGAGCCCTGTGCAGGCGCTCTCAACAGGGTCACACCCATAAGGCTCTTGTGGCATTTGCTGACTACACTCCCTAAATGCTCTGAAGCTCACGTTCCCCGAAGTGTGGACTGAGGGCTTAGCAGCCTTCCGTGTTCGCACGGCACACCTCCAGGTGTCTGTGTGACCAGGAAGTTAAGGCCGCTCCTTGCCTGAGCGAGCTTGCCCCACTGTGGACAGGAGAGGTGGCGCGGTTCCAGTGAGTGGGACCCCTGACAGTGATCGGAACCTCACTGACATTCACCGCAATTGCAGTTCCTGGTCCCGTTAGCCCTCTCACTGCAGTTAGGGAGAGAGAGAGCTCACTCCAGCCTTAGGACTGAGCCACTCAGACACCTCGCTCCAGCGCAGCATGGCTGCCTGGCAAGGCCATGCTCTCCCTTTATCTTCTTAGGGTCACAGACCACAGCCAGGCAGCTGTAATTTTACTTTTGGACAATGTAATAATTGCGCTTGGTCTGTGGCAAAAGAAGCTTAAAGTCTCTACTTGGGGACCCATGATCAGTACCTGAGCACATGGGAAGGGTAGAAAGGAATCCAAGCCAGTTGCAGCTGGTATTTCCTCTTCCTTCAGAGATCCAGGCCACCATTTTTCTCTGGCCCCCAGAAGGTGGAGAGAAGTATCTAGGCTGACACCCCACACCTGCCCTGAGCATCGACTCTATATAAGCCTGTCTTTCCACTGATACATCTGGAAGCTCGGGGTCAGCTAGGTGGCCCCACTGTTGTCACGGTCCTGATTTCTTGCTGTTCTCTTTGGTAGGCTCTCCTTGGCCACACCGATACCGTCACCTGTGCCACCGCATCACTGGCCTACCACATAATTGTCAGTGGGTCCCGAGACCGAACCTGCATCATTTGGGACCTGAACAAACTGTCTTTTCTAACCCAGCTCCGAGGCCACCGAGCTCCCGTTTCTGCTCTTTGTATTAACGAGTTAACAGTAAGTAATGCTCTTAGGAAGCAGACAGCCCAGGCTGAACACTGACCGAGCCTGCCCATGAGCTGATGGAGAGTCGCCTGTAGATGCCACTGCATTCTGCTTGGCTTTAAGTTGCTTGAAAAGCAAAAGGATATTAAAGTTTATAACCCAAACAAGAGTTCTTTCCTGAGAACCCACTCACTGCTGTACACTTTAGAGAAAGCAAAACATTCTGGAGTTTACGTCTCTAATGATGAGGAATTGTGGGGCTTGTGAGGAGTGAGAGTTTTGCTGACATTTTTAATAAAATAGATTCAGATTGCTCACTTATCATTTACAGTGAAAAGTGTTAACCCCAGGGCCCTCCCTTACCCCCGGGCTGTAAACATGGATTTTACAGTAGTGTGTAGGAGCCAGCTGTCTTCTCTGTCACTGAAGAGAGGGGCAGCACTCCTGAGCCCGTCTTCCTTCTACCTGCTGCTCTTCCACTCCATGTTTGCGGTCATTACTAACAGTCAGTTGAGGGGTGTGTTTCTTGAACTAGAGGTATAAATTTGGGCCACGCCCAGAGGAAGTCACAGAATCTCATTTAGAAGGGCTCAGCTCATCCGTGGGCGACTGACAGCCTTGCGGAGGAGAGAGCGATCCAGCAGGCGGTTGGTGCCCCACCTCTCGCCTGCACTGGTGACCCATGGCTCCTGCAACAACTCATCTCTGGGCTCCTGGGGAAGCGGCTGTTGAAGGTGCTTCAGCAAGCCCTGACTTCCAGGTTACCTCAGAAGTCATTCCGCCCTAGCCTAAGGACCCAAAGGTTCTCAGAGCTAGACGTGGGATACGAAGCTTCAAGTAGCGAGTGGGACAAAGCCCCCTCCTGTCTCTCCTCCCCAGGGGGACATTGTGTCCTGCGCTGGCACATACATCCACGTGTGGAGCATCAACGGCAACCCCATCGTGAGTGTGAACACGTTCACGGGCAGGAGCCAGCAGATTGTCTGCTGCTGCGTGTCTGAGATGAATGAATGGGACACCCAGAATGTCATAGTGACTGGACACTCGGATGGAGTGGTCCGGGTAAGTGAGCTCAGAGAAGAATCTACACACACTGTCCCCACACACATGTACGGGCATGCGCGCGAACGCTCACACACACTGCTTTGGGCCTGCTTCCCTTCATTGTGCCCTCTGTCAAAGCAAGGTGGCTGATACAGTGTCCCCCTTAATTACACACCAAGTTTAGAGATAGTGGAGCTGACAGCCACTCCCGTATGCGCGCTGTGCCGCAGCCAGCAGGCATGCAGGGCCGCAGCTGCATGTGAGGCTGCAGTTCCCACTGCCAAGTGTTTAAGGCACTGCCAAAATTGCCCCAGACAAATATGCTTGGAGGTGGGGCTTGTATTCAACAGGAACGGAAGTTTACTGATACAGTAACTGTCTTCTTTACTGTTCTGTTTCTGTGAAGAAACACCATGACTGAGGCAACTTATAGAAGAAAGTATTTAATTGGGGGCTTAAGCTTCAGCCAAGGTCTCCATGACCATGATGGTGGGGAACGTGGCAGCAGGCAGGCAGGGTGCAGGAGCAATAGCTGAGAGCTGCCTTTCTTGGCTGGCTCTTTCGCTGTGCTGAGGGACAGGGACCATGAGGCAGCCGGCCTCACAGGTTCAGAAAAACCTACCTCGAGGCAGTCCCTGGCCCCACCCACCTGGCCCTCAGAGCCCCCCGAGCTAACGTGGTCACTGTCTGCAGTCTGTGTCTTGAGTGTTGTTTCCACATTATGTCCACGCAGTTCTGGAGGATGGAATTTCTACAAGTTCCTGAAACGCCAGCTCCTGAGCCTGTGGAAGACCCGGAAGTGCAGGAAGGCTGCCCCGAAGCGCAGATAGGTATCTCACACTCTTCACAGCTAGCCTTTCGCTTGGGTAGGCCTCTGGAAAGACTGGCAGCGAACAGCTCTACCGGGTGAGGCTGGCGCTGTGCACACGGCCTGTGCCTGTGGCCTTCCTTCTGTGCTCGGGTGTGCCGTCCATGCCGCAGGTCGCCAGTCCCTCTTTAGTGGACTTCCGCATCGTGAGCTAAACGCTGGAGAGGTTTCTCGCCAGGCTGGAAGCCCGAGTCTCAGTTCTACCGCTGCTGTGCCAGCTCATAGGGTGCAGGGCGGGTGGACACAGGAGGGTGCCAGGCTCTTAAACATGTATGCTCACCCTGTCTGCCCCTGCTCAAGCAGGGCATCGATTCCAGCTGAAGAACTTTAAATTTCTGGGTGCAATGGAGCCGGATAACTTCTCTACAGAATGACTGGGCACAGCACCATAGAGCCAGCAACCCTGCGTTGCTGGTCTCCAGAGAAGCTGCTCTTCTTGGTCTGGCACTAATGATGTGCTGGAGAGAATCAGTTTTCAGTGTGATGACCTTCCTATGACCTCTGTGGTGATAGAAGGAGCTCCTACAGGGAAGGCACGTTCTCAGAAGGGCACACGCTCTCTTTGTAAGCACGGAGTATCTGCTTTCCGTGCCGGAAAAGGAATGCGTAAGCGGTACATTTGGATTCTCGAAGTATATCGATGGTGTAAATTCCCACAGGCTCAGTTGTAGCCCTAGAAGAGGTAAACTGAGTCAGCAGTAGGGAGAATGTGAAATTGAGGAGTGTTGATTAAGTAACTGTGGGGGGGGCGTGTTTTTTCTAAGGCATCGGTTTGTGGCATCCGCTAAGGAGTGAGTCACTTTCCTTTAGTGACTAGGGTCGTGCTCAGTCAAGGTGGGCCGACAATCGTGTGGCCCATGTGCAGTCATACTGTGGCCGTTTTGCGGAGGGGAAAACAGTTCCCTGAGAAGGCCTGAGCAGTGTGCCAGGGCCGAGGCAGCTCAGGATGAGGATGAGCCGCCGAGGCTAGTGTGAGAAGGCACAGCCACGGCGTTGCCAGTCAGTAAGTAGTATGTAGAGTGTGCGCATGCGTGCTATTGGTCTCTCTCATTTCCACGTGTGCACACTGCTCCTGTGGATCGGCCCTTTGGGAGACGTTACCGAAGGAGGGTAGGGAATGTGAAATGTCGATGGGAAGAAAAGATTCAAAATCAGAACCTCCTCCATAAGAAACTTGCTTGTCCTGGAAGTCATGTGGTTACTGATGGCCATGGACAGAGCTCAGGTCTCTAAATAGTGCCAAAGTGATAGTTGAGAGAAGAATGTTGGGTAGCAACAGGTGTGGCAGGAAGGCCTGTGCAAGAGTGAGGTGCTGCGAGTAGAAGGAATTGGGTGAGATCTCAGACAAAGAAGCCAGGAAGTTGTGTCCTGAAAGACAGGTAACACCAGTGCACACAGGCTTTGGGAAGGCGGGTTCAAGTAGAGTCAGTGGCGTGTGCAGACTTACTGGGAGGAGCCAGCCTATGTCAGGAGGTGTGTGGTTTGGCTTTTCCTGTGCTGTTAGGATGTTCTCAGGTGTGGTCTAGGAGAAGGAATTCGAAGGAAGATCCTGCACGGTCTGCCTGTGTATAATCTTGCTGGAAATACCTGTGTGGGATCGCCCCACCCATCTGATAGGAAAAAACAAACAAACAGGGACCTGTAAAATGATACCTTCGACCTCTCATTTTCCCAATGCCTTCCCCAGGGCAGCAAGCCCAAGATGAAGACAGCAGTGATTCCGAAGCAGAGGAGGCCAGCGTCAGCCAGGATCCGAAGGATGTGCCCAGCCAGCCCGGCAGCACCAGCCACAGGCCCCGGGCAGCCTCCTGCAGAGCGACAGCCACCTGGTGCAACGACAGCGGCTCCGATGACTCCAGGCGATGGTCGGACCAGCTCAGTCTCGATGAGAAAGATGGCTTCATATTTGTGAACTATTCCGAGGGCCAGACCAGAGCACATCTTCAGGGGCCCCTCGTCCACGCCCACCCCAACCCAACTGAGGCCCGAAACTACAGCAGATTGAAACCTGGTAACTGGAGGCCTGCTTTCTCCTCTGCCTGTGAGGGGTGTGGCTGACAGGCCGTATGGGGGCTGTAGGGTGCTGTGAGGGTGTGGCTGATGGGTTGTGTGGCTCCAGCCCCCTCCGGACCCTATCCCTGATCAACTCTGTCCTGGGCCACAGACCAAGGCTTCTTCTATCGGTCAAGCTAGGCTTGTTGTAAACCAGAAACCTCCGTGGCGCCCACAGCTCCTAAGCTTAGTTTGTCCCCCACTTCTCCATTCCAGGGTACCGGTGGGAGCGGCAGCTGGTGTTTAGGAGCAAGCTGACGATGCACACGGCCTTTGATCGCAAGGATAACGCACACCCAGCTGAGGTCACCGCCTTGGGTGTCTCCAAGTAAGGGCTGGGGTGTTTATAGCCCACCTTCCCCTCGGGGTGATTTTGCATGACGAGGGACCCGCATTTCAACCCGGGGCCTTGGGACATGTGTTGGCCTGTGCAGCTGGTCCAGCTCTGGTCTGAACTTGCCCCTGTGTCACTTTAAATTCTCAACAAATAAGCCAAAGGACTGTCTGGGTGCCTCCAAGACACAGCATGGCTTGAGCCAAAGAAAATTGAAATGGAAAAATGAATCAAGGCTCAGTTTGGTTTTTGTCTCTTTTAACTTACTGCCTTTGAGGCAATCAGGGGCCCCTCTGAACATTCCTCCCGTACACCCTGAGCCCTGGACCAGAGGCCTTCTCATGTTTTGCACAGGGATCACAGCAGAATCCTCGTGGGTGACAGTCGAGGCCGAGTGTTCAGCTGGTCTGTGAGTGACCAGCCCGGCCGTTCTGCCGCTGACCACTGGGTGAAGGACGAAGGTGGCGACAGCTGCTCAGGGTGCTCCGTGCGCTTCTCCCTCACGGAAAGACGACACCATTGCAGGAACTGTGGGCAGCTCTTCTGCCAGAAGTGAGTTCTCTTTGCTGGGTCCTGCACGAGTTCTGGTTTGCTTTGGGTGCCCGCTGTAAGGTGGTTGTAATGAAAGAATCAGACTAACTCTGTAACCTATATTTCTTTTAATTGCCTTATAACTTATATTTACAAGTTTTAGGCCCATGTTAATTAAAGCCTCTGAGTGCTTCTCCAGAGAACCGAAGAATGTAAAAGTTCCTGACATTAGCCATCTGTGAGGGCAGAGATAAGAGAACAAGCAGAGATCTCTACTAAATGGAGAAAAAAATCACTGGCTGGCGCCGGTGAGATGGGCTTTGTTTGGAAACTGGGCCAAATGGCCCCAGTCCTTCTCCTGACCTTTGATCCAAAGCCTGTAACCCCCACTCCTCAGAACAGACATGGGATGAGTTAATCCCCCTCCCACATTTAACTGTGGATGGCAGGAAATTCCAAACTGACTGGACCTAAGGGTGACCCGAACTGACCAATTATTTTAAAAGTTAAACACTTCATTCAACCCTAAATCGCCAAGAAGGCAATGCCAGGAGATTCCGCCTTGTGTCTTTTAAAAACCCAAGGTCTTTGTCTCCGGTGCCACTCCTAGCTGACCAGCAGGGGTGACCCCATTGCAATGGTCAAGAAGAGTCTCTTGCGTTTTTGCATCGATGGATGATTAGTTTCCTGAGTTCTCTTCATACCTTCTTATATTTAGGCTCATGCTGGGCCTAACAGTAATGTAAGGCGATTTCCACCTCTTCTCTTCTCTGTTGCTATAATTACGAGCTATTTCTCCCATAGAGTACAGAAATGCCCGTTGGAAACAGCTGTCATGTGCATTTCGTCATGGGTCTAGAGGCGCACAGGCTGACTGTCGCTAGTGGCATCTTCCTCTCCATGAGGCTATGCTTCCCTCTGCTTTTGTCACTCTGTGCAGTGTTCGGTTCCTCGGCTTCACGCTCTGCAGTTTGCACTTTTCTGCAAAGCTGTACTCAGTTTTTTAATCCATTCACAATAGCTGTGTGCCAGGACTGTGGAGGAATTTCTCCCCCTTACACTGAGCTCCTGAGGACTCTCGAGGTTTTCTTTCTGTTCTGCAAACTCTACCAGTAATGCTCCCTGCCAGGTGATCTGGCCTGAGGGCTGGGTTTCCTCTCCAGACGGACCAGAACATCCCGCAGCACTCAGACTCAACTCCGGATCTTAGCTGGCTCTTGCTAAATGTTTCTTAGAACAGTATTGGTGCTTCGCCTGCCTCACAACCTTCCAAATTCGTAGCCATGTGAGGCACTGCAGAGCCTTTTTCCTTCTGCCAGTCTGAGGAAGTGTGCCTCGTTGGTTTAACTTCAGTGCAAGAGGTGCCTATTAGCTCTCAATTTCCTTGGGGATCTGTCTCTCCTTGAGTTCTTTCTAGACTCTGAACTCTGGACAGTAAGGGGTGCAGTCCACTTGCAACCCCTTATGAAAGCCCTGTCTTCCCATCTCTGAGGCCCCAGAGGGCTCAAACCCCAGGGCTCAAACCCCAGTCCCACAAGAATAAAAATGATCAAGGAGATAAGCAAAATGTTCAAGGACAAAATTCAGTGCCCTTTCAGAGAGGCAGTGGTTCAGAGAGGCAGCAGCACAGCCGCTGATGCGAGTCACCCGGCATCTGTCTGTTTCCCCACAAAGACCCAAAGCGTCGTGGGCTAGCTGTACACCAGGGTGAGTGGCTGTGAGCGGACACTAGAGAAACCGAAACCACGTGAAACCTCAAGATTGGAGACCGGCAGCCTGACCTGAGAGCAGGGTAGCATTGCCGAGGTATTAGTTAGGAGGCTGGGGACAGGAGAGAAAGACAGAGGAGTGCTTAAGATGGATTCGTGCTGTGTCCGTGTGTAGAAATACCACTGGATGCCATTAATAAATGTATAACTCAGATGGATTACGGAAATAAAGTGAGCACCTCCCAAGGAGGAAATAAATGGGAAAGGAGGAAACAAATCTGAGTGGACATTGGGGTAAGATGATCATTGAGTCTTCCGCTCACAGGGGGAGGTTAGCGATGGTACTGGCACGCTTGCCAGTTCTTGATGTCCACCCTAGGGCTCTCAGTCATGAGACTAGGTGCCTGGCTCATTATCCTGAGGCTGCTTTACCCCCTGAGCCATGTCCCTGCCCCAGAGCACCGAAGCCTGAGCCAGTTAAAAGCCGCCGATGCTTAGGGTGGCCACAGCAGCTTAGGGTGGCCACAGCAGCTTCCCAGCCCCACAGCTGGGTGGAAACCTGCAGTTAGCATGGTCAGAGAAATGGCCCTCATGTCATCCATAGGCTCCTGAGGCATCTGTCTTTGGGCCTGGGGGACCTGGGGCATCGTTCCAGCACTGGGCTCTGTTCCAGCAGGCTGCCTGCCCTCCGTGCTCCCACCCCCTGGCGGCTCGTGGAGAGGACCTGCAACTAACCCATGTTCCCTCTCTTTTAGGTGCAGTCGGTTTCAGTCCGAAATCAAGCGCTTGAAGATCTCATCCCCCGTGCGTGTCTGTCAGAACTGTTACTATAGCTTACAGCATGAGCGGGGGCCAGAAGAGGGACCTCGAAACTGCCGAGACTGAGGGGCCGGACAAGAGACCAGAGCCTGGGGAGCTCTTTGGGCCCCGCCATGGCTCCAAATGCACTGAGGCAGTGTCCGTTTACACATCTCTTCACACTGAGTGTTGGAAGTGTTGAGTTCAAAGGGATCATCGGATCACGGGTTCCGAGGCCAGTGACCGGCAGGCACTATGCAGCGAACAGCACAAGAACTACTCAAGGTGATCCCCAGGAGCGTCTCAGAGCCCGAGTCTCCCGTAGCAGAGCCGTCTCCAGAGCGAACTCCGCGCTCCTGACTGTCTTTCTTGCATCTCATTTTTATAGAGCTTTTCATCCTTATTTGGAAAAATCAACAAAAACTTAAAAAAAAAAAAAAAAAGGCTTCTAGAAAACGGTTGTAAATCTGACTTCTTTGCAAGCAGCTGTGTATATTGTAAATAGGTAGAAAGGCCTTTTTTTTTTTTTTTTCTTCCTAAATAAGGACCTAATTGCCTGTAACATGAGATTTCAAACTAAGCCACTAACTCAATGAACTATTTAAGGTTTGTCTAACATCTCTCAGTTATAAATATGGGTTGTTTTTTTTTTTTTTTTTTTATCCTCGGAGACATTATCTGTAATGTTTTTGTTTTTTTTTTTTTTTCTCCTGTTCAAACCACGCCTGTGTGCCTGATATCATTCTTTAAAGTTGCCCACAGTATCTCCACTTAACATAGGCTAGTAACCAAAATACCGTAGCCCTGCTTCAGGGGCTAGTGTGGGAGAAAAGACGGCTGGTCAAGAAGTAGCCTGCAAATACCCGAGCATCCGTTTCCAGCTGTATACCGCCACAGTGTTCTAACGGGACACCCCTTTCATGGATCTGTGGGCTGCATGGTCTGAGCACACCTCAGCATTGCAGAAAAAGGGGGTCGTGACGGGTGGCAGGCGGGATCCAGCCCTGCCTCGGTTAATGGAAACATATTTGCATGTTACCCCAAATTAGCTTTTCTGCATAGACCGTAACAAGTGTGTGTCTTTGGGGACACTGTGTTCTACTACAGCTTATTTTCAAAAAAGGGTAAAAAAGTGTACAGAATTAACATTTAAACCTTGTTAAAACTGGATGTCAGAAGTGCTTAAAATGAACCTTTACCATTTAATGCCATCTACCTGAAAACAGTCAGATTTATACTGTATTGATGTCTATTTTTTTGGTTTTGCTATGAATATAATTACAGTATTTTAATATTTAGTTATTTAATTTGTTCTACTAGTTGGATACAGAACACACAAATTCAGGAGGATCAGAGCTGCTGGGGGCTAAGAGATAAGTTTATAGAGAAATGGCTTTGGTGGTGGGATTTTTTAAAATGTGTGTTATGTACATAAATATAAATAAATATATATATATGAAATCAAAACAATCTAGATTTTAACATTTTCAGATACTTAGTACTAATACTATGAGCAATTCTAAAAGCCCTGTGATATGAAAACCATAGGATGATCACTAATGACCCAAGAAAGTAAGGACAGGCCTTGGCACCCTCATGGAGGGATGGATCATGCAAAGGACAGTGGCTTTGGCTTCCCCAGCTCTCCATCTTTAGCCCTGGTGACAGGCACACTTATGCACTAAAATGCACATATATGCACACGTGTCCAGAAACAGGCATTTGGTACAACAGTGACCTTGTACCTGATGGGCTGAGCAGCTGCAGAACAAACTTGTTCTTCCTGATAGGCGGGTCTCCAGGAGAAACCGAGAAGGCTGCTGTAGTGCCTTATGCTTCCTAAATTGAGACCTTGCTTTCAAGGTTTCAGCCTCCAGTCTGATACATATCAAAATTGACTCAAACACTTCCATTTCTAAACGCTCAGATACTTCATGTGAGTAGAAGGATTGTCGGCATTAATGCTTTCCGCTTGAAGAGTTGCTTTGTTTTCCCTTCTGCGTCTCACGCCCCGCCATCTCCCCACCACATCTCCAGAAGGACGCTGGTATTCCTCAGTTGCAGAAACTGTGCTTCTGCCTGGTGGTGGGCTGGCCCTGTCTGCCCCTGGATGCTATGTAGCAGTGTTCCTCCACACGGTTCAGAAGCAGCGCCCTCCCTTACCCAGACCCAATGGCAGAGGTGTTTTCAAGACTTGAATGTAGGAGTGTGTGCGTAGCCACCTGAAGCTTGTTCCTCTGTCTGACCTGAAGTTCAATGGGATGAGCATGTAAATTTCCCAACGCGGCTTCCTTAACTAAGGCGGAAACCAAACCCCTCACGATAGTATTTCCTCTGGCAGCTGGTGCTGTGGGCAACTTTTTTGTTCCATCAGGTCTTGGTTTTTGTTTTCTTTTCACTTCTGCAGAAGTCACACAGGGCAGGGCACTCAATGTCCTTTGGCTCGTTGCTTTTCTGGTTTATCCCCGTGTTCTGTGCCAATCTGCTTACCAACATCCATCGTGTGTGTCCACCTTCTCGTCTGTGTTCTCTTTCTGAGTACCTCACAGGGCTCCAGCCCGATCTCTGCTCATCCTTCCCCCCATCCATCCACTGTTCATCCATGTACTCAGCACATCAGTGTGTAACGTGCAAGTGTAATGTCATGCTTTTGAAGATGAGAGGGAGCTGCCCGTGGCAGCCAGCCCTATGGAGGGTAGCAGAACGCTCTAGACAAGTTATTTTGCACTTTCTTATGTATAAAGGTGGTAGAAACTTATTTTTGCTTTGTATCATTTAAATACATTTTGTTTTTGGTAAACAGTGTATAAAATATTTATGCTGTTAAAAAAAACCTTTTTAGAAAGTATTTTTCGTTTCAGCAAGTTCGGTTACTTGTTGCATGACCATTAACACAGCTGACTTTTTGTGTCAGTGCAATGTATATTTTTGTCCTGTTATTAACTTGTAAGCCCCAGTAATGGCCAATTATCTGTACAGCAACAGAAGGAAATTGAAGATGCCGGCTAAGACTGGATTGATTGTGGACCTTTGTACTATATTGCAGAATCCAATCTGTTTCTCTGGTGGTTTATGTCAAGGCCTGAAGACTTCCTACCTAGTGTGCAATCTGTGATTCTGAGTGTTCATTGTATCTCTGTCTGATGCAAAAAGGTAGACAGTTGCAATCCATGATTAAACGCAATAGTCCAGGTACTTAAGTATTTTTTTCATTTCAAATAAATACCTATTTACCACAAAAAAAAAAAGTTTTTAAGTTGTTTTAAATTAAATCTGTCAGAGAAGAAAAAACTGATTCTAATCCTCCTCTATACTTAAGTTTTCCTGGTTGCGCGTATTTCTTTCCTCTCTGCTTCCATTTGCAGAAACTGGCTGTTAGGGCCAGAGTGTAGGTTCCAGTTTGGTCTGTCCTTATGAGACAGGCTCTCTGTATCCTTCCCAGGCTGGTGACTGGGTGGAGTGGGGGGCTGGGGCAGAAAGGGAAGGCAAATAGTCGGGGGACATGGCTTTCAAATCTGAATTGGCCTATCAAAAAAAAAGACCTTTTTGCATGGTTTTGTTTTTGTTCTTATCATCATTGTAAAGAGCAAGTGTGTGTGTGTGTGTGTGTGTGTCCCACCCCATCGGTCTTCTGAAGCCCTGCAGAAACTCTTAGTAGCTCTTTCCATTTTACCCTCCCAGACTTAGCATGGGCAAGCCCGTTACTAACAGCAGCAGCAGCAGCTATTTGATTTAAGGAAGCAGCATTCCCAGGAAAGAAATGTATATGGAGAACACTTTCTAGAGATTATAGACTGTTTCAATTGTTTTTGTTTTTTCAAGACAGGGTTTCTCAGTGTAGCCTTGGCTGTCCTGGGCTCACTCTGGAGACCAGGCTGGCCTCGAACTCACAGAGCTCCAGCTGCCTCTGCTTTCTGGCGTGCTGGGATTACAAGCGTGTGCCGCCATGTCCTGCTTGTTTCAATTACTTTTACTTTGTCTTAGAAGTCCTCTGTCCCCCACATAAGAATCCTAATAGAATAGTACATAGTGTGCAGCCAGTTTTTTAGCCTTAAACTCATTTTTAACATTTTTTGAGAATCCTCAAAAAGCTTCCTCATATGCTTAATTTACGTTTGTTTGTTTGTTTGTTTGTTTGTTTCATTTATTTTTGAGCCAGAGCCCTGAGTCAGCAATCTGAGCTCTGGAGAAGCAGAGGCAAGAGGGTCCCTGGGGCTTGTTGAGCTCCAGTCTAGCCAAATCAGAGCTTCAAGTTCCGTGAGGGATCCCACCTCAGAAGAACAAGCTGCAGAGCAACCAAAGAGGCCCTGAGGTCTCTCTCTGTGCTGTACTCTGACACCACTCCCCACACAGACACATGAACACACACATACACACAATATAGAATGGAGTTTTCATTTTCCAATTGTATGTATGCATGTATATGGAGGTCAGGGGAAAACTTTTTGGAAATAAGTTCTTTCCTTCCCCCGTGTGGGGGCCAGGCATCAAGCCCAGCTTGCTGGGGTTTGGGGCCCGCTGAGGGGTCCCACTGGCCCCGAGTTGCTTTATCGTTATCTCATGTCTAGCCCAGCGGATAGGCAGGCTGCCGCCTTCCTCCTGTTCTTCATTTGAACAAGTGAAGATCCTGGAAATCGGATGTCCTAATAACCTTTTCGAGTAATTGCTCCTTCACAGTTCCAAGCTTCTTTTGGGGTTTCTGTTTGAGGGAGTTGTTGAGTAGGTGTGGACGCGCGTGCAGGGCCCAGAGATCAGCATCAGGGCTCTGACGCTATGGACTCCATGCTACCTTTGTATTTGTTAAACCCATCATCTCACATCCATTACGTTGGTACACGTATGCGCATGTGCACAAGTGCCCTCGAGGGCATGTATGTCATGTCCTGTATGTGGAAGTCAGAGGACAGCCTGGGAGGCTGTTCTGTTCTCCCAGCATATGGGCTCAGTCCTCAGGCCTGACAGCAACCACCTGTGACTACTGGGCCGCCCAGCAGCGCCTCCCTCTGTCCTCTGAGACAGGATCTCATTAAACCTGGCCAACGAGCTCTGCCTGTCTCCTCCTCTCCGGGGCATCGGTTACAGACGTGTGCAGCCATGCCTAATGTTTCTGTGGGGCTGCTGAGGACCCTGACTTGGGTCTCATGGTTGTGTGGCATGAGACACACAACCACTGAGCCATCTCCCAGACCCCCGTTTTGTATGGGGTCTGTACAGTCCTGGCCTCAGACTCTCAACAATCCTCCTGCCTCAGCCTCCCAAGCGTGCCACCACGCTGGGTTTTAAGATTCTTGAAAGACTGCTATGTCAGGAATCTACTCCTATAACAATGAACTTGCCACAGAATCTACTGTCTGGTATCTCTTCCTTTCCATAATCATGAGAGCTCACATACAACAAAACTGCTAATGGCCAGTGCTGTCGGGAGCTATGTGCCGCTCCTGCTGCTGCAGAATCTGAGGATCTTCCGGGTACTCATGGACCCCGCTAGGTGATGTCCCCACAGGTATATTGTCATATACACAATTGAAATATTACCAGCCCCATAGGGAATTCTAAGTTCTTTGATGATGGGTACTTACTTTCCCCAAATTCCAATTTTCCTTCAAACCTAAACTGGCGTTAGCAGTCAGTACGGCCTACTGTTCTCTTGGAAGTGGCAGGCCCATTTGTCCTCACCACACACTAGTGGCCTGTGCCATCACAATCTCGTTTTTTCTCCAGGGCAAATAGCAGTACAGTGATGAAGAACAAATCAGATTTCAGTATTATGAGAGCAGGCTTCCTGAAAAGGTTTCGGGACTTGGGGGGCAAAGAACTGAGAGCCAGTACTCCGAGGAAAAGATGCAGAAAGTGCTGTCCATGCGGGGCGGGCATGCAATCCCATCTGCTTGCTAACCAGACTCCAGCACGTCCTCTGAGCCCCCACCGAGAGCTGCCAGACAGAAGGCTAGACCACACCACGCTGCACTAGGCTCCCACGTTGACAAGACTTTGGAATTCCCCTCTACAGCTTGAAGCAATCTGAATAGCACACTTCAGAAGTGTTGGGGTTGTCCGATGAGGACTTTTAAAATCACGTTATTGTAATTATCATTCTATTATCAAGACTAAAATTTCATCATGTAAAACTGTTGATGCTACAGTTGAAATGCTGCATCCGGCCCTCACAAGTATAAGATACTGATCACAACTGTTTCCTGGTCTATCGCTTGAGGGAGTGATTTAGGCTCTTCGGATCCAAATTTCTCACATGAAAACTTATTAGGACAGCTGCCCCTCCAAGAAGTGTTATAAAGTTTGGTAACTCAAGAGCCGAAGAAGCGCTGATGTACGTCCTCCCCACATAGCAATAACTTGGAACTTCACAAGAAACGATGTGCTGAAACATGAAGCCTGAAGGCAAATCCATAGGGAGTTGAGACTTCTGATGTACGGAGCAGCCAGGTGGCGTGGGAAGGGCTCCGGGCAGCCAAAGCCCACAGCACCCCTCGTGTGTCAGAGGAATCTGTGTTCCCGACCTGGGGTGCAGAAGAATAGGCTTCCTCACCTTTCATCCCCAGCCTTTACTCAGACAGCTGCCACCTTCCACTTCCCAAAGCCCTGTTCCATGACCACAGGGAAACTATACTTATCTCCAGGTCCTCCCTGAAGAGGCACACCCAGCCGTAGCAAGAGAAAGCATTAGAGGCTCTATCATGCTTTCTGCCTAGAGGCAAGGGCGAACTGCAAACTTTGTCCCAGGGCGGAGGACGGTTTGTGTGTGGCCGTGCCTCAAACACTGCGACCAGCCAATGACGGGCTTGCAAACGCCGCTTCTAGCTGGGAGCACAGTGGCAGGGCATGCGTTGGGCACATTTCTGCGCCTAACAGGAAACCACTCCTTTCCAAGCCGATTCTGAAAACTACTCCCTGAGCAAAGGTCAACCTAAGCTGCCCGACACCGTACACCTGCCTACTCATCACTTCAGAATGTGGCTTTGCCGCTTGGGCCTGCCATGCTATCAAATGGGCTTCAAATAACGCAGCAATCCCTCATTCACGCTGCCGCCCGTGCGGCTGGGCTGTCAGCAATAAGACAGCAATAAGACAGCTGCTCTTCTAGAACCTCCTATCACCCTATGGGAGCCTCGCCTTTAAACAGCTACCTCTGATTAAACTTCCAACATCCCATGCCCTGCTGGTAAAGTCCAGTGAAATACTCTTTTCCAGTGTGGGGGATTTGTTTTGTGGCAATGTTGGTTTGGCCTGAATGTTGGATCTTCGTTTTCATATCATCCTCTGATTCTGACAGTGACCCTCTGCTGAGTTTGTACTATTTTCAACAAAGCCTTGTCACGTGTCTCCTGGTGTCCTCCCTCAGACACACGCTTGCTTTCTCGGCCGCTTGCCTTTCTTCCTGTGGTGGTCTCCTCTGTCCTGTGACGGCTTCACCACTCACTTTCCACTTGCTGAGACATGCTGTCAGGGAACAGTGTGAGTCTCAGAGCCGGGTGCCACCAGCTAGCTTCCCACCAGCTCCTCCCCAGAGCAGCAGCAAGGCCAGGCTTAGTCACAATGCCCATGAAAACCCCTGACTGGCTTCTCCATCCCCAACTCTCTGTTCCAGGGCTGCGCTTTGCTCCCACCATGGCCACCGGCCCTAAGCCAGCCCTTCTTGCTCACTGGCTTCAGGGCTGAGATGACCCTGCAGTGAGTGGTACAGCAAGAAAGGCCCCAGTGCAGCCCCGGCACTCCCAGCTGCCCTGGGTGTCCTGCGGCCCCAGCAGGCGCCCTGTCCACACTGCTGTCCCCAGGCATCGCCCCACTGCCACACTCTGGCTCACTGTAGGACCTCCTGTGGCCAGCTGTGGAAAGGCTGTCCGCCGCCGTGCAGAGCTCCTGCAAGCAGCCTCGCCTCCGGCTGGAGCGCAGCTTTTGTAGAAATCTTCCAGCATGGTTTGAGCCTGTTTAAAACTCACGGACAAGGGCTTCAAAACCTGGAGGGCCCCTCAAGGAGCACATCTGTTCTCTCAGTGAGAACCTCCTGCCTTCCCCAGGAGGGAAGAACCAGAAAAGAAAGCTCCCCTCTCTGCTTCCCAGGCCCCCCTTCCTAAACACTGCCTCCCCCTGCCCAGCCGGCTGTCCACCGCATGCTCTGCACCTGGTGGAGGTTAGCTATGGAGCAGTCGCCTCGCAGCGCAGCACTCCAGCCATGCCTCAGTCCTGGGGTGCCCTAACCCGTTCTGCCTGTTTGCAGAGCCCATACTACAGGCACCACAGTAAGTGATGTGAGTGTCTTCGAGCTAGCCTCACAGCTGTGAACAGGCACGGTGGCTAATAGCTTTAGCCCTCACACTCGGAAAACTAAAGCAGGGCTGCGAGCAGGTTGAGGCCAGCCTGGGCTACAGATGGAGTCTCAAATACACAAAACTCTGTGCATGTGCGCGTGCGTGCGTGTGTGTGTGTGTGTGTGTGTGTGTGTGTGTGCGCGCGCGCGCATGTACACGTACGCATATATATATATGTATATATATTTGTGATTGGTCATCCTTGTCACCTATATCTGTGCTATACCCATCCCTCACTGCCGAGTAGAGGTCCACTGTATAACTGATACGCCATGTCTGATTTCTCCAGGTACCAGCAACGGACACTTGGGTGATGAACATTCCCATGCAACTTTTGGTGTGCATGTTTTCAGCTTTCTTGAGTGATGCAGAGAGTGAAACTCCAGGCTTGTATTTCAGCTATGCTGGCCCCTCGTTCCGCTCCCCCGAGCAGGCATCCAGTGGGCTTTCTTGGCAGGGACCAGCGGCACCCCAATCTCACTCCTCTGCACTGCTTCCAGGTTCCTATGACTACACACCTCTGGCCTGGAGACAGGCTGCTCTCCAGCGTAAGGAAGGTTTCTGCTAAGACAAACCTAAGACAGTAGGTGACCACAACAGGTGGCCCTAGCAGTCGCAGAATGTACCAGAGCCTCTGGCCCCACTCGGGCTTTCCCTGTTCCCTGACTCCGGCCCAGGTTAGCCCTGAGTAGGCTGAAACACAGCCTCATCCTCTACATGAGCCAGAAGTCCTTTGAGAGCAGAGCGTGGACTCAGCTATCTGAGTACTAACGTGCTATTCCAGGCAAACACTGTTCCACAGACATTTAGTGAAAAAATGATGGCCACCCTTCAGAAACCACGGGTTTGAGCATTGACTTAGGTTCCTCTCGCTGTGATGAAATCACAATCTACTGTAAGAAGCCACGGCAGCGGCTCAAACTGTGCAGGGACCTGGAGGCACAGGGCGTGGAGGGGTGCTGCTTTCTTACAGAACCCAGGACCACCAGCCCACGGGTGACACTGCCCGCAACAGGCTGGGCCCTCCTGCACCAGTGACTAAAGAAAATGCTGCACAGGCTTGCCTACAGCCCGATCCCCTGGAGGCGTTTTCTTAACTGAAGCCGTCTCCTCTCAGACTACCCCAGCCGGCATCAAGTTAACGTAAAGCTCCCCAGCATGGGATGGTGGGAATGAATACGCTTAGCAGTTACTACACCCAAAGAAAATGCCTCTTTCCTTTCCTTTACAAGGTCTCTCTATGGCTTCTACTCCACAGCCCTGCCTCTCCTCCAGGAGGCCTGGACCACCACAGCAGGCTGGAATTTGAGAGCTTTTAGAACAGAATTATCTTTTTCTGGTGTGTACAAGTGCTCCCTGCTGTGGAAAATGGAGAAGTCAGTGGTCACTGTGAAGCTCCTGACTTTCCTTTGGCTGTCTGGAAGCTAGAAGGCACAACCACTTTAGTGTGCCCTCGCCTCTGACTTTCGTCAAGTGCCTTTGGCCACGGCTTCCTGACACTTTTCTTTTATTCTTTTTTAACATTACTGGGTACACTAGGGTCTATTCCTAAACTAGAGTCAATATATTTGGACTAGGATTTGTTCCTTCTTCCCCACCCCAAGTGGGGGTGGGGAACCTAATACAAACCCCAGAACTGTCAAAGTGGAACTTGTTCTGACTGACTTAGGTCTAGGAAATCCTCTCCCTAAAAAATTATCTATAAACTAGGAAGTGGAGCAAAGGTCTACGATGCCAGGAGATGAACATGGCAGAGTGCTTGGCCTGTGCTTTCCTCATCCCCTCAGCTCAGTTGGTCTTTCTCTTAGTTTTCTGCTGATGGGATAAAACACCATTATCAAAAGCAAGTTGGGGATGGAAGGGCGAGTGGCTCACATGTGTGACATAGTCCATCGCTGAGGGGTCGGGACAGGAGCCTGGAGGCAGGAGCTGAGGCTGGAGTCACGGAGGAGTGCTGCTTGCTGGTTTGCTCAGCCTTTCCTGTCATTTTGGTTGTGAACCTAGCTCTTCACAGCTGAGCCGGCTCACCAGCCCTTCTTTAACAATTCAGGCTCACCTGCCTAGGGATAGCCCTGCCCCCGAGGAGCTAGGCCCACTCCTCTCAAATTGTTAACCAAGAAATTGCTCCACAGATGTGCCCACAAATCCCCTCTTCCCAGGTGATTCTAGCGTGTGTCCGGGTGAAAAACTAACGGTAAAATGACAATAAGATTTATCAAGGACACAGTGCTGACTTTGTGAAAAGTTAGATTTTTCAGTTCTCTAATTCAAGTAGCTCAGAGGCAGAATGCCCCCTATTGTCAGTTTGTGGTCACTGGAGCCATTATAAAGACTTCCATCCATGAGCTCAATTGTCAATTTTCCTTTCCTATGTAGTTGTACCTAAAGGATAGATATTTTCTCATTTCTCCTTCCTCTCTATGATTATTCTATAAATTCAAAGTTTTGGGGTCCCAGAGGGACAGTTTAACACAGATCTAATTTGTACTCTCTCTCTCCCTCCCTTACCCCCATCAAATTGTTTGAAACACCAACCCAACACCTATCCTCCCCCAACCCGTTTCCTTGCCAGCTCAGAGGTTCCTGGAGGACAGGCTGCACCTGGGTGATTTTCTTCTTGAAGTCCTCCTGTGTGGAGGAGCTCTTCCTGCCCTGGGCGGGCCTCAGTGGCATGTCTCATCACCCATAGCACAGGCCGTACAACTGACACCACGGCCTCTGGCGAGCTCATTTCAAACGCGCATTCTGTGGTCCACTGGCCACCTAGATTATCTCTATTCAGGTCTGTATGTATCACAGAGGCTGTCCACACCGCACCACACAGAAGACAGCCACCCTGGGTTTTCCCACAGAGCCTCGGCTTTCAGACAGCAACCTCAGCTGTTTGTCTTGTCACAATAGTTGGGGACAGGCAGCAATGGCTACGGCAAGAAGGTTGGCCTGCCTCATGAGCCCTTCCTGTTTACCATACCCAACCTTATAAGGATAGCCTGCAAGTCGCCACAGCGGCTCCGATTTCAAGACAACAAATGGCCACAGTCAGGCCAGGAGAACAAAGCTCCCAGGCAGTCCCACAGGGAGACCTGTGGAAAGAAGGCTCAGAGGGCTGCTGGGAAAAGGACTGTCTACTACTTAAATGTGAACTTATCATACAAGCCTACAATTCCACCCCTGGCAAGCCATGAAAGAGAAATGAGGGCATGTCCACACAGGCACGTATTTCTATAAATTCTTAGAGCAACACTTTTCATAAAAGCCCCATGTTGGAAATAATACAAGTTCCTAACAACTGGCAAATGGGTTGTCCAAATTCAATATTCATAAAAAGGAAAGTAGTAATACATGGAAGACTATTATGCCTGATGTGGAATACCGAATACCCGACCCCTTTAATGCCGACAAAGACTGAAGGGTACGGGTGAGACAGAGCTCAAAGACCGAACGTAGCTGGGCATTAGAATAAAGAGTAACTGCAAATCGGCACCAGGAACTTTTCGGCAGAACATAGAAATGCTTTCCAACTATCTTTGGTGGCGAGTGAAAAATTTCTAGAGAGAGAAATGCTGCTGTTGTCATGCAACCTCAAGCTCATCTGGAACTTACCACACAGCTGAGGCTGATCTTGACCTCTTGACTAGCCTGCGTCAATCTCCCCGGTGCAGGCATGACGGCCATACATTATCATGTCCAGCCTAGTATGTAAATTATATCTCAACACATGGGGGGGGGGGCTTTCTTACTAATGACCTATGCCTGTCTTACCTGGACTAGCTGGAATTTCTGGCTTTCTCATTCTTTTGTAACTTTGGAGGCATTTACCAAACTAATGAAAAATATACTTACAGGTCTTTTCAAGAACAGTCCCCAAACTTAGCACCTCTCTAGGCCCCAACTCAAGGTTTAAAGCCACATGATCATGAACAGAGAGCCACCTGAAACCACTAAACCCAAGTTAGACCCAGTAGAAAGGAGCCTTAAGGTTACAAACAGCCCCAAGTTCATACCCTGTGGGCTTGGAAAGAGCCATCTGGAGTTGTTTTTCCCGTATGGAGGGCAAGGTGAAGTGACGTTCCATTCTCCTGCATGCATGGACAGCTTGGCTCTCTCAAGGACTTTCTCTGAGGACAAGGATGTTTACTGAGAACACTGAGCTAGTGTCCCAGAATGCGACCATCACCAATCTTCCCTAAAAGATCCCAGATGTGTGGACCCCACCAGCTCACCACATCTAAACGAGAAGACGCCAGGCTGTCAGGGAGCTACTGACTTACAGTAAATCCTTTGCACCTGATTCTTCTTTGCAGCGACGTCACAGGCTCCCGGATGCATAGGCCCTTCCCCCATGAAGGTCCAGGAAGGGGAGGAGATTCTCAAAGGAGCTCAGGCGGTGACCCCATCTCCCAGGAACCCGAGGTTTCCATCAATTACCGCTCTGTGCATGCCCCTCACCGAGGCATTTACCCACGTCCATCTGAGTGGGGCAGAGGACTGTGGGTTTGTGCCACCACGGCCGAAGCAGCAGTTGGTTCCGGCTCACCCGTGCCAGCCTGCCCTTTCCCACTGGGGATGGGCGGCAGTGGGTAGGCAGGCAGGACTCCCAACGAGCCACCCTACACTGGGCACAAATCGGGGCGCCTTCATGTTTTCTCATCAGCCAGAGACATGGAGGCTCGCCTTCGTATGTAAAATGACACTCTGGGACCAGGGGTGGGGCTGTCCAAAACCACTAAGTAAGAATGGGGCAGGCAGTTCATTTTTCAGAAGCCCAGAGTGCTCCTCCTCCAATGAGAACATGGCACTGCAAAGTCAAAATATCATTGAAATTTTATTTTTCTATCTCAGTTTTCAGTAAAAAGATTCAGAGAACTGATTGACACATATCATAAACTTTCACCCATGTACAATATATACACAGCGTTGCTACCGTCTCCTTTTCATTGAACCAGGTGTCATTACCTTTGTTCAAACCAAAGTGCAAATGAGGAGAGGATAAAGGGAAACGGGGTGGCCTTTAATCTCAGTAACTGTATGTGCGTCCCCACGGGGAAAGCGCATGGAGGAGACATTAACATCCCACAGGCTGGCTGCTAAGTCAAGCGATGGGTGCCAAACCGCAAATTTCCAATGATGGTCATCCCCGTGGAAGACCTTCCTGGTTCGCATTTGTCATCACGTCATTAGGTGAAGCCTCTCCCAGTGCAAATGTGATGCTGATCACGGTCTGGCTCTTACGGTGATTGCTAAAATATAGTCCATCCTAATGTACATGCTATAAAATATGCTAAAATGCTGATCTTCAGAGCTCTGTGAAAAGTAAGTGCTCACTTGTTCTTATATGGTTCAATGTATACCCAAAGTCTATTTGAGAAAGGCTTTTCCTGCAACCCCAGATAGTGCCAGTTTCTTCCTTTGTTTAGAAGAATGTTGATTTTTCTGTGTGTTTAGTAAATGCTCTCATAATTCCATCCTGCAACACCTCACAATCCCATAAAAGCATGGTGGGCAAGGAGAAGCTCCATTATCTGCAAGCACGTTTCTGCGTGCAGACGGCCACATTTCCAGGGCATGTTCCAATCTAAGGTTTTCGCTGTTTCTTTGGTGCCTGCAACTCTTCCTCTGATCAACATCTGGAGTAGGGAGTGGGGCAAACAAAAGTAGGGGACGTTGGAATGAACGCACGTCACCCGACTGAAAAGTAATCACCGCCTCGCGTGATGGTGCCTTCACCGGGCTTCAGGCAGAGGCGGGAGTGACTCGGGCTGGATGTAGCCCTGGGTCACTCGTCACCTAGAGAGGCCACCGATGGCCTTCTCAGGACTGAGGGTCACTGTGTCTGCAGTGTCGCTCTACACAGCGTGAGTGTAGAGCGCATGATGGCTACAGCTGCCCAAAACCAGGTGCATCTACAGCGGGAAGGATGTGTGTGATGACTCAGACTCACTTCTAGTTTAGGCCAAGTATTAACCAAAATTTACAATGGCAGAACCGGTCGTTTCGTTTGACCTGCTGAGAGTGGCTGTAGGGCACACACAGCGACAGGAGGTTGAACAGGCGCGTGCTCAGGCTTTCCTCTAGGCTGGTTCCAGCGTCCAGCCCCAGCCGAGGAAGGTGTGGTATTCTTGTGCTTGTGTCCTTGGTGGCTATTATTTCTGCTTGTTTTTTATTCTTGGATTTTGTGACATAGGGGGAAGAGCAATGTGACAGAGGTTAGTTACCACCAGGGAGCTGGCCCTGGTCGGGGTCCTTGGGCAGAACTCTCTTCCTGCCTGTTGAGGTGTACAGCGGGCTGGAAGGAAGCCCTGCCTGCCATGCAGGCCTCACCACCCCAAGCATGGGACTCAGGGAACCGAGGAAAGCAGACGCTCCCACCAGGCCAGGGGCAGGGGTAGAGGGGGACCTGCAGCCTTAGAGGCACCGGCCCTGCCCCAGCCCCCTCGTGAGGGATTCCCAGCGGGAGCCTCGTGCTGCTCTCTTCACTCAGCACCCCACTTCTGTGTCTCTGGGGAAGTTGGTTGTGTTTCTCCAAAAGGTTCATCAGAAATGGATTCTGACACCTTCTTTTTAAACAAATCAGGAAGGCTGAAGCCTCTAGCTTCTGAATTTTGAAACTGCTTAACGCCAGGTGCTTGCCCTTGGCAGATGACTACTTCTCTGAGAGGAACAGTCAGCTGGAGAGCAGCCCGGAAGTGGGCACCTGCCTGGTGTGTGACCTGGGGGCCACCCCAGCATCATGAACAAACAAACAAGGGAGGGGGAGGAAAGAGAGAGAAGTGGACAATCGTTCTTTTTCTCGCTTTTTTAATCTAACTCGGCCCTCAGCAATACTTGAGCTTAGAAGAGGAGGCGGCCCTGGAGACCTGGCTTTGCATGGCGCCTGCGGAGCATTACTTACACAGAAGGGGCAGCTCCTGGTGCAGAGGTCAGTGTTCCTGCAAAAGATCACACTACCAGGCATGACCCTGAGGCCTCGCTGCATGGTGTTTGGCTCTTTAAAACACAAATCTCCTAAGTCATGGAACTCAGCAAGTGAGGGCAGAGCAGTTAATGTTGGAAAACGCGTCTTAGAGGAGTGCGGGACCTTTCCTGGGCCAGCGTCCGCCACACGCTCATCACTTAGATCATATATGTTTGTTAAATATTCACAGTCTTATCAGAGAAAGAAACATTCATATCGGCAACAGCCGTGTCCATCAAGCTTTCAGCCCCGTGCTGGCTCAGTGCATGACTTCACTCAGAGCTGTCCTGTGGGCTCCTCCCGGGAAGTCTGTCCTCAGGCAGCTACATCTTCAAGGCGGGCTGCAGGATCCCCTTCTCGGTGAGGTGAATCTTCAGGGTTCTGTAGATATTTAGCTGCTGCTCTGGCTGAAGTACCAACAGCTGCTGGAGCACTTTGCTGGGATTCGGACCCCTGGTGACAAAGCAGAGAGAGAAAACACCTTTGTTCACAAGGTTTGCACAGGGGCGAGCAAACCTGTGCACAGGCTGCAGGGCCCGCTCCTAAGTGCTCAGCAGCCACCTTTACAGGACACACACAGCTCTTCAAAGGCCCCCACCAGAGTGGCCAAGTGCTCGGGAGAGAGTGGCAGGGGGCCTGACCACCACGCCTTGATAGGCAAGGAGGGTGGGCACAGAGGGACAGGAGGCACAGATCTAAAGTCTACAGACATTCTGTACGGGCAACCTGGTGAAGAGCAGACCTCACGCCAGCAGACACAGGGCAAAGCAAAAGGAGAGCACAAAGAGAAATTGCCGTTTTTGCTTCAAAGAGACTTCTAGACCATGTAAGGCACCTTGATGAAGAAACGCCCTCAGGGAACTGTGATCATTTATCCAAGAGACAAAACACGAGAGCTCTGCACCAGAGCCCCTGCCCAGGATGTACCAAGCAAGGCCACACCTCCTCTGCTCTTTGAAAGGAGGACAAGGCCAGCCCTGGCCTCCTGGCTCCTCTGCCGCACCAGCTACATGACTTCTGGGCAATCCCCCGGGCCATCACTCCCTCTCCCGTTCCTGCCCTCGGGTGTGCAAGCTAGCTGGGACAAGAAGTGCAGAGAGTTCTGGACGGGACTGAAAGCCTCACACCTGGGCCTCTGGTAACGCTGTCGCAGCCATGGGAATGCGGTTTCCCATAGCCTGGCCTGGAGAGCTCGACTTCACACGCTCTGTACCTGCATTTCTAAAACTGTGCACTGTGAAATCAGACAGGCGTGGTAGCTTACAGCTGTAAGCTCAGCACTGGGTATGCTGAGACAGAAGAATTACCATGAGTTCGAAGCCAGGCTGGACTATACAGTGAGTTCCAGGTCAGTCTGGGACACTGTCTTGAAACAAAACAGACCCCAGACCTTAAATTCTTTGTGTTTAATTACTGTCATTAACCTTCCCCAGGGCAGGTGCAGAAGAGGGCATGTGTGAACAATGGTACGGAGGATGGCACAGGCTTCTGAGCCACATCAGACATAGGTGAGTAAATGATTTATCACACAGGTTAGACCAGAATCCTAAGAACTAGAAACCCCAGCAACAAAGCAGTGTCTTCTCAGGCGCTGCCACAGTGGGGACGAACAGAGGCACAGTTCATCCTGAAAACCTTTGATTTAAAATAGCAATGACACAGACACGCAGGGCGGCCATCCCATGATCGCCTTCATGTCTCAAGGCAAACTGGCAGAAACCTGTGCCCATGTGCCCCTCACAGCCAAAGTCCACTCAAATGACAGCCCAGCTTGTCTTGTTGCATTCCGTGGCGTAACCCCAAGCAGGTGCCCACAGAGGAAGGAACCATCCCGGCTAGTTCTGCTGCACGGAAGTGACATCATCAAGTGCTTCCCACTAGCTGGATCCAAACAGGCCAGGGATCTGCTTTCAGGTGGCTGGGGCTCAGCATGAGCACAGATAAACTCTGTCTTAAAGAGTGTGAGCTGATGCCCTAGAAACCTACAGCTTCTGAAAAATAAAACTTTGCTCTGTTGTTGGTTTTGGTTTGTTTGTTTGTTTTGTTTTTAAGGATTTAACCATAAATTACTAATACCAAAAGTCTATCAACAAGGAAATGCAATGCAAAAAGACAAAAAATGGCCAATGGGCGTCATAAAAAAAGTAAAACAACCAGAAGAGAAAAACATTGTTAAAAGTGAAGGTAAGTTAACGTGGAAAAGAGAAAGCTGAGAAACCCTGTGCAAACACCCAAAGCAAGCTGCTGGAGCCTTCCTAACATGCCAGGCTCTAACAGGCGGGCTCTGAGACGGGCACGAGACACGACCAAACAGGGAGTTCCTCGGAGACACAGCAACGGTAAGCTAATGCATCTCAGTACAAGCTCAAGAGAGAGATGATTTAAAATGTTCATGTTTCTACTCAAGTAGTAAAATGGAATGGCCTGTAATCACGCAGGAGACTCCACCCCCCTCTCTTTAGGTAGGCACCAAGCACCCTCAGCTCAAGCACCACCCTGAGCTCTAAGGAGGACTGAATCCCACAAGATGTTACCTCCAAAGCTGGCAAGCTGGACTGTTGCTTCAGTGAGGACCTAGCATGCACCAGAAAGGGTGATGTGGCGGCCGGTGAATCAAGCTTCCAAAGTTAACAGTGGAAGTTTGAAAAGGGCTCTTTCAACCACACTGGCAAATATCGATGAAGGAAGAGGAACAAGACAGTCTTGATTTGTTTGGAAATTAATCAATCTACTTCTAAATAATGAGTGTGATAAAGAAGCTAGGGGTACAGAAAATTAAAAACTTTGCCACTCCCTGATAAAAATGTACATTCTGTATAGTGTGTACATAGTGTACACACAGTAATTTTATCATGTACAAACAGGAGGAGAATAAAGTTGTGTTAAGGAGGATGCCTGTAGTCTTAGATAAGAAGGCTGAAAACCAACAACTTCGGCTTTACCTTTAAAAGCTAGAAAAAGAACAAATTAAACTTTAAAAATATAAACAATGTTTAAAAATGAGAGCATAAATTAATGAAGAAGAAAACAAACATACCACAGAAAAGGCTAATGAAATCTTGATTCTTTGAAAAGGTAAATGAAGTTGGTAAATTTTAAGGTTGCAACCTGCTTCCCCCAAAAGATGAATATAAAAATCCTTATACTGTATGGATAAATATTTTAGGTGTATATGTATGAATTTCTAAATGTAAGTTTACCTCTAAGTAGGTAGTGAAAACAGATTTTCTGTGACTTTCTGGGCCCCCATGGAGACCAGGGAAAGCACATCACCAAATCATTACTATTGGCTTTCCCATGCCACTGTAGGGCAGATCTGCAATGTTAATATTCAGTAACAAGCATTCACCAGGCAGGCCGGTCCTCCTGCCCCTCACACATGCAGCCAGATTCTGTCTGCCTGCCTTATTTTTCCATGGCTCCTGAAACCAATTTTTTTTTAAGTTAATCTTTTTTTAAATAATTAGTTTATTCATTTTGTATCCCACCTGTAGCTCCCTCCCAATCCCACCCTCTCTCCCTCTTCTTCACCCATGCCCTCCCCCAGTCCAGTGATAGGGGAGGTCCTCCTCCCCTTCCTGCTGATCCTAGTCTATCAGGTCTCATCAGGAGTGGCTGCTCCCCCCTGAGGGGGAGGTGATCAAGGAGCAGGGCAATCAGTTCATGTCAGAGACAGTCCCTATTACTATGGAACCCATTTGGACACTGAACAGCCATGGGCTACATCTGTGCAAGGGTTCTAGGTTATCTCCATGAATGGTCCTTGGTTGGAGTATCAGCCTCAGAAAAGACCTCTATTACTTCTTAATCACCCACTGCAGACCCCCGATCCCTCAGCGGGACACTCTGAGGACAGGGGCTCCCTTTGCTTTAGTCTCTGCTTTGTTCATCACTAGAACATTCTTCCACAAGTCAGGGACACTCCAGCAATAGCTGGGCTGAATGAATTGTCTCCTTAAGGGCAGCGCACAGTTAAGAAATGCTGTCTGCTCGTGTTTTGAACCCAGCGTGAGCCACATTCACTGGGTCCTTTTACTGGGTCTTTTAATCCAGTCCTGCTGGCAGTCATGGTGTATGCTACCTTCAAGCTGCTCAAATGCTTTAAAAACAATGAAGATTGAACCCTACTACTCAAAGCTATGATTCCATTCAACTTGACATTATAACCACCATTGACAGAAACAGTTAAACTAATGGAAACTCAAAGGAGTCGAGCAATGAAAAGTGCTTGCGCTTGTCTTTGGTAGAACAGTACCTTACGAAACTCGTGATGTACACATGCACGAAAGTTGCCATCAGATACTGACAGTCGAACCTGTCCATTATCCCGCCGTGTCCAGGGATAGTGTTTGCGAAATCCTGCAGAAACAAACAAATGTACAAAAGCGTCACCTGCATCACATCCTGCTGTGTAAATGTTCACAGACCTTATAAGGGAAACAACTTTCCTATTCATTTTCCCCAACAAATACAAATAAGTGATATGACAGCCAACAGATTGAAATGATATTTTTCTTCAAATCTCCATCCAATAATGATTTCTGAATTGGCCTACAGCCTTGAAAGAACACGAAATATTAAGTTAAGTCTGGGATTTATTCTCACTAAAAACATTTTTTTAAATATAGTCTGTTGGCTATGTCTATCTAGTTCATGACTGCCTGCGCCCCTGTGTGGCCCAGGCTGCGTGGGAGCTGCCTCGTGCTTCACAGATGCCCACATGGCACCAGCTCGTGTTTCTCCGGTTGTTGCTGCTTTGGAACACCCCAGTGATGGGCAGCTCTTTAAGCACTGAGGTGAAAAGAGCAGCAAAGCCACTGGCCCACGGAGTGCGAGCGCCCACTGCCAAGAGGCTTCCACGAACTCACCTGGCAGGAGCACCCACCGCTTGAGCCCTAGGGAGCTGAGGTGGCCCTTCTAGCACACACCAGGCACCTCATACACACGACACACACCTTCAGACTGAGGAAGAAAAAACCCTTCCTTCGGCGAGAAACCTCAGAGGCCATTGTTTAAAACGGCATTCTAAATGGCTATCCATTTAAAACAGTTACTGAGAAGTTCTTTGACTAATTTTTGCCAGCCCCTTTCCTCCCTTCTCTGCTCACTGAAGCTTGAGGGAGCCTCAGCCTGATCCCGCTCTGCAAAGCAGTCACCCTGTGCAGCCTCAGCTGTCGCCCCTGACTGGACTGTTCCCACCTTCCCCCATGGGGCGGGGGTACCTTGAGGCCAGGGACCTAGTAGGCTGCTTGTGTTACCACAGTGCTCCTCAGGGCGGAGGCTGAGTCCACGAATTTCCCTGGTCAGCCTGAGGTCTGTGTGGTGTGCTCCCTGAGGTCTGTGTGCTTCCTGAGGTCTGTATGCTCCCTGAGGTCTGTGAGATGTGCTCCCTGAGGTCTGTGTGGCGTGCTCCCTGAGGTCTGTGTGTGCACTTGCCTAACCCCGTGTCCTCAAAGCTTCTCTGTCCTTGCACTCACGTCAACTCACTTCCTCAGGCTTCTAAGAACTAGCCGCATCCTTCCTTCAGATCTCAGCTCCAACACCACCTCCTCAGAGCTGCCTTCCCTATGCGACATCTTCACTAGCCACTCTAGCCCTTAATGAGCCAGTTCTGCCTTCACACAGACAGGGAGGCGGGCTAAGATGACACACTTTACGATGACCCAGTTCTCCTAAAGCGTAGGGACAGCTTTAAGTGTCTGGACCAGGATCAGCCAACCAGATCCCACAGCCCAAATCCAGCCCTGCAGCATGTCTTGCGAACAAAGTTTTACTGAGACATTCACAGACACGTCTGTGTGGCAAGCCTCATGCTGCAGCAGTAGAGTTCAGAGAGCAAAGGCTGTGGTGGAAGAGCGTTCTTGGAAGCCTGACAACAAAGTCTGAAACCCCCTAGCAGCAGGGCCAGAGCTCCCTCCCCGAAAGTGCTTCTGCAGAGTCCTTCAAGGCAGACTGGGAAGATGCTGAGCTGCGGACCACTTGTGGCCAGATTCCTGACGTCTGGAAAGCGCAGGTCTGGGTTCACACCAGCAGTGAGGGGACTCCACTTCCAGAAGAGGCCAATACACTTCAAAGTGAACAAATTACGGCCTGGCCAAACCTACCCACCCAGCCAGGTGGCATAGCTCGGAGGCTGAAACAGATTTCAGGGACGGCGGGATCTCCCGGGGCCTAGTGTGACCCGTTGTGGGCCGCATCGCATCTAACTATGTGCACTCACTATGCAGCACAGACTGTGGAAACGCACCTTGATTTTGAAAGCTCTTTTGAATCCACTGGCGAAGAAGCCTCCAAACGGGCCAATCAGTGAAGCAAACGTTGAAAGGGCAACGCTGTGTATCTGGAAGGGATACAGGCGCACGGTTTCCTACGGAGGAAGAAAGAGAGGACCGGCTGCATTAACAGTGACTCCCTCATGCCACATGACCCAGCAGGCTCAGAGTCAGCACAGGCCACACTTTCGTTAACTAAGCTCTGAAGACCATGGGCGAAAAGCGTTATCACTGGCAGTCTCCATGCCCGGTGCTGACTCCCTGCCCAGTGCCCACTGCCTCACTGTCACGCCTGCTCACTGTCACACCTGCTAGAACTGCGAGAGCCTAGCTCAGCTGTGGCTTTGGAAATAGCTGTGTGGAAAGCTCATGCTTTAGTTCGCTCCTTCATTTGCTCTTTTGGATGTAGTTCTTTGTTCTTGTAATTACAGGATTTGTTTTGGTTTTATATTTTATAACACTAATCTTAAATGATGAAAATAGCAAAAAGTTGTCGTTGTTGTCAAAAGCAAGTTGAAAGCTATGGAAGCACACAGAAATAAGTCTCTTAAAATACTATTAAGGGGTGGTGGCCTGCACCTGTCATCCTAGCCTTTCAGAGGCTGGCACAGAAGTACCGTGAATCCAAAGCCAGTCTGCTACATGTTAAGACCCTGTGCCAAACAAAACCAAACCCGTCGAAGTGAGCATGAACAAAAGGACCACAAAAGACAGGGAATTACCGAGCAGACCTTCATATTCATACACGTGCACAGCTTTTCCCCCTACATAACTACGGACTAACAGCAGCGCATGGTGGGGTCCAGGGAAGATGCTCAGCCCACCAAGTTTGAGATCTGCGCTCAAAGCAGCAGCGTTGCTCCAAGCTGAAGGCTGATTCTGGCTCTTGTTTTATAGCGTGCAACAGGAGGCATGGATAGTGAGAGAATGTGTGGGTCACATCTTGAGCCCTCCTACGCCAATCAGCAACTGAGAAAACACCCCACAGATGAGCCCACAGGACAATCTGATGGAGGCAGCCCTTCAGCTCAGGTCTCCTCTTCCCACAAAAACCAACCAGCCTACTCTGCTTCTCACTGTAATGATGCAATAAGAGACAGGCGGTTCTCCTGGAGAGCACAGCAGACGTCCTGAGGAGGGACACCTCAGAGATGCTTTCAATGTGGCAATGGGAAAACTCAGTTTTAGAAATTTTAGAAATATTAATATCAACCCCTAAAAATCAAGGGCATCAGTTGAAAACTGATGAGTCTTAAGTTTTATATTGATTTGAATCATATCAAAAACATGTAAATTTTATTCAAATCATTTATCTGTAATATTTTTTTAAATTTATTTTTAAATGTTTTTTTATTTTTATTTTATTTTTTCTTATCAGTTACATTTTATTAACTCTGTATCCCAGCCGTGTCCCGATCCCTCATTCCCTCCCAGTCCCTCCCTCCCTCCCTCATCTCCACCGTGCCCCTTGCCAAGTCCACTGATAGGGGGAACCTCCTCCCCATTCATCCGATCCTGTTTTATCAGGTATCTTCAGGACTGGCTGCAAAGCTCTCCTCTGTGGCCTAACAGGCCTGCTAGTTTAAAAATATAAACTAAACTGCTATAAGAATTTGAATCATGATGCAGAACTTCCTAGTATACAAACATACAAATGCCGTGGAATATTTGATATTGTTTAAGATGATGATATACAGTGCACTTTGATACCTGTTTTAAAAAGTGGCAGCAGCTCCCTGGGGAATGACTCTCTAACAGTGCTAGCTGGCCTTCGGCTCTTACCTGGCTCAGCACCGCCTGCAGGAAGGGAGGGAGGAAGTAGTTCTGAAGCTGGAACAGTTCAGAAGGCTCGCACTCAGTCACAAAGGAGTTGACGTCGCTTCGGTATTCCACTGGGCACACGAAGTATTGGTATTTGGACAACACATAGGCAGCCTGCAGAACAAAGCAAGAGTTCATGAGACAGCGCCCAAGTGAAAGGAGGCTGTGTCCCAGAGGGCAGAGCCAGATGCCAGGATGTATTTACAAAGTCAGAAGGTCGGGATGGTCCCAGGAAAAGCCCTGAAAGACCTTTAGAGAACAAAAGAAGGTTTGAGAGCTGTTAGATCTCCATATAAGCTAGGGAAGGGGCAGGCTAATGTCATCCTAAAAGAGAACTGGAGGAGGTCTCACTTTGCGATTTATCTTCTTATCATCCTAAGTGTGTACGCACGATGTGTGTGCCCCGGACAGCTGTGGCAGTCAGTTTTCTCCTTTTTCATGGACTCTGGGGATCAAACTCCAATCTCCAGCGAGTCCCCATGTCCCTTTATCCTCAGAGCCTTACTTTCTAAAAGTCTGCATAGTTACTCTTAGCCTAAGAAGACATGGTAAAGGAGTGGACTATAAACTTGGGGCTCTGCACACAGACATATACTAATCTCAGCAGCGGATACAAAGTCACTAGGCAAAGAGTGCACAGACGTGCAACGTGGAAGGAGACCCTGCCCCTCCCACGCCCAGGGTGCCCTGACCCAGCTGCTAATCACTGCCCTTTTTAAAATTAGCCATCCTCAGCCATGGAGATGAGAGGTAATAAAACACCTTCTTGTACATTTGCATTTCTACACTAAAAGGTACACCCCACTGTTCGGCTAACCCGAACCTAACCCGAACCTTGAGAACAGCACGATTCAACAATGATTCTAGGAATAGGTACCAATTGCTTCCTTCTTGGCTGTAGGTTACGTTTTAAGGGCTCTTTACTTTATCCAGTGGTAGGACTTTCCTTATAAAATTTTTAAATAACAAACTCTCACAGTATTACTTAGCTTGGTATAAAACTTAGATAGGAATGGATCCCCTGTATGTATCAATGATTACTAATATTCAACCTCTAAATTTGGGTTATTACTACACTATGTTTGGATGTGATATTTTATATCAACCATAGCTTTCTGGGACTACACCTAAAAATTTGAATTCCTTAACAGTAATTTCTTTGTATATTTTTATTTTACCTAGTCATTTTAAAGTCCCCTTTTTGATTATCACCAGATACCTTTTACCATAGTAATTTTATTATTTGAGGAGGGAGGTTGACCCACTGTGTGGGTCTGGCTGGCCTGGAACTCACAATGTAGACCAGGCTGACTCTGGACTCACCAAGATCTACCTGCCTCTGCCTCCCCAGTGCTGATGCTGGAAGCCTTTAATAAGACCTAAGCTCTAGTAGGGCTAGGGATGTGGCTCAGTGGTAGAGTACTTGCTCATCACGCTCAAGGTCCTGGGTTCAATTCCCAGTATCCAAACAAACAATGCCCTAAAATCCTGCAATCATGTGCTAATATTTTAAGTACGGACAAGCTGGGCTCCCAGCAGGACCAAATCTTTGAGCCAGTGGCCACTAAGTGTAGGGAGGTGGATGTGGGTGTCACCTGCACGCTGCTCGGTACCTGTCCTGGAATCTGAAGAGCAGCTTTCCGGGAAATGACAACAACAAAGCACACAGCGGTGGATCTGTAACACAGCTGTACTCTGGAATCCCCTGAGAAAGGCCACCACCAGGGGACCCTGTGGGGACACAGATTTGAAGCTTCCAGGTGATCTGCTCTGTGACCAGGATGGCAGGTCACATTGTACGATGTAATAGGTAAACAAAACTGGTTCTACTTAGCGGCTTGTTTTAAAATTTCATATACAAGTACTAGAATTACTTCATTTTCAGGCCCCATGATCCTGTCCCCAACTCCTTTTGTGCCCCGCTGACTGCTTCTCACATTCATAATCTCTTATTTAATTATTCCTGTTTTACACAATCACCTACACAGATATGTAAACACAACCTGCTTATAGGTGTGTGATTCCAACTGACCCCTGAGGCTTGGATGACCTGGAAGGGCCTCATCTTGAGAAGACCCCTCCCTTAGCAGCCATTAATCGCTGCCCCCCTTTATCTGGTGGCGAGGCTTTGTGGGGTTTTCTGTATGTGCCGGAATGTAAGCAGCGCTGTCCGTGTGCGGGTCTTGTTTACATGATCTTTTTCTTAAGGCTCCATGGGGGCAGCTCCCTGGCATATAGAGGAGACACTGTCTTGTAGCAGCCATGGTCTTCTGGCCCTACACTCTTTCCTCCCGCTCTTCGGGGACGTTCCCCGAGTCTTAGACGTAGGGGTGGAGCTGTCGATGTGTTGGAGGGGGACGTCAGCCTGTCACCCACAGCTGAGTGTGGCTCACACATCTCAAACGAAGTCCTTTAATGCAGCAGGAAGAGATCATCAAAGAAAACCACGCTAATCAAAATGCGGAGAATAACTGAGTATAGGTGCCTATTCAGCAAATTTTGATAAAGATATTCTAGCATTTTGTGGGTTTGTAGGTTTAGAAAAGGCTAAAGTCTAACATGGGTTTTCAAAGTATAAATAAAATTAAAATCCTAAAAGACTCACAATGAATCCAAATATGACTGTGGAGAAGAAACCGCCAATGAATCCTTCCCAGGTCTTCTTAGGAGACAGCTATGGAGGCCGAATAAGATGGGGGTGGGGGTTATTATATAGAACACGTATAGAACCAGCGAACACAAGTGTCTCTACAAGTTCCCCAAAAGCCCTGTGCCCCACCCCCTTCTGGGTTTTGAGGCTGGGTTTCTCTGTGTGTAGTCCTGGTTGTCCTGGAACTTGCTCCGTAGACCAGGCTAGACTTGAATTCATAGAGGTCTGCCTGTCCCTGCCTTCCCAGTGCTGGGATTAAAGCCTGCACCACCAAACCTGGCCTTTCCTTCTCTCTTATTCGAATGGTCTAAAACTCCCGTTGCTCGCCCAGTGGTCATGATTTACCTCAGTGTCTTAAGAAGCACCTGGTGTACAGCAGAGCCTCAAGAGCGTGCGATGTGTTATGAATATCTAGTCATTTCTGTTAAGTGGCCTCGCGACCTTTACTTTCTTTCAAAAAGCTATGCATTCAATATTGAAATAATTTTCTCATGACGTGCATGCTCCTCTTGGGATAAGGTTATTAATCATCTCAAGTACATACTGCCAGTGCTGGCCTGACCAAAGAACAGAAGGAATACGACAAGGCCCAGTCACCAGCACTCTAGGTGGTGTCATTTGGGGCAGGTGGGCTAGGGAGTTAGGGTTCTGGTCTAGAATTTGCAGTCTTCCTGCCTCAGGCGCTCAAGTGCTGAGATTACGAATTTGTACTAGCATGTGCACCTCAGTCCTAAGATGTAAGATATATGAGATTTCCTTCTGAAAGGAAATGTTCAGGAGCTCCAAATTACACACGCCACACCCCATAGCCTATGTCTACCTTCAGTCAGAAAGGAACACATTGTGCTTCTATTAACAGACAGACACTGGGCGTGTTTCACAGTCTGGCCCTATTTCCCAGGCAATGAGGCACTCAGGAGAACACTCTGGAGGTAAGTCTGGAGCTTGGTGGTGTAGGGGATATGAGCAGAGACTCAGGAGTCTGTGCTCAGAATTGCCCATAAGTGCCACAGAAGGGAAAACTAAAATTTGTGTGGTGATTGGGCTGGCAAGGACAGGGCCACGCTCAGCAGGAAGGAATGGGTCACAGCCCAAGCTCCCTGAGCTCCCTGGAGACTTCTTCCCTTTAAGTTGAGAAGCCGCAAAGGTAAGCTGGCTGGCAGAGACGGTTTCTGAACAACCTGGAGACAGCCCTGCCATGGAGAAGGAAGCATGGCCCCTTCTCCTGGGACAGTCTGGTGTTTGCACTAGTGCCACCAAGCGGACGGATTCAAAGTGTGTGCTGAGTACTTCTGAAAGCGTCAAGCTGACTCACACCAGGTCACAAGTCAATTGCTCAGCCTCCTGGGCACACCACACAGCTAATCCTGGGTGAAATCACTTGAAAGGTGTTCAAGACCAGTCATGAGGGTTCCCGTGTGGCTCAGTCTCTCTCACGCACGTTAGTTCGGAGCCTGTGAACGCGCTGGCTGGGGCTGTGGCGGCAGCCTTAGAACGTGTCAGAGATGCACACCTGACAGGACACGACACCGACACACCGGCAGCCTGCCGCTCAGCCTGCTTCTGTGGGGCCGCCCACGAAAGGAGGGCTGGCAGAGGCGCTCTGAGGGGAGGGTTACCCAGGCCTCCCCAGGAGCAGGGCCTTCCTACCTCCTTCTCCACAGCATGAGGCTAATTCATACGGCAACAGTGGCCTCTGCGTCCTCCACAGCTACGTTCACCTCAGCCCAAGAATAGTAGCTGTGCAACTCCTACTGAACACTTTGCTCAGTATGGAAACTGAAGCCTACAAGAAGCCCCAACACACACACACAAAAAAGCTCTTCAAAGAAAAAAAAACAAGCTGGGCGGTAGTGGCGCACGCCTTTAATCCCGGCACTCAGGGAGGCAGAGGCAGGTGGATCTCCGTGTTTAAGAGGCCAGCCTCATCTACAGAACAAGTTCCAGGACAGCCAGGGCTACACAGAGAGAACCTGCTCAAAAAAAAAAAAAAAAAAAAAAATTAAATAAGTAAGTAAATCAGTTC